ATTAAGGGCTGTAACATAAAAATGGTGATATCATCATCATCATCAACAGTCTATAACAGTCCTCCACTGCTGGACATAGGCCTCACCGTAGAAAGGAGGTTTTGGCCTACTATACCACGCTGGCCAAACGGGTTGGTATATGGTTAGTTTCAAGTTTTCCTTCTCTTTGCAGTGCTGTTGTCCTGCGTAGTTTGCTCCATTAGTCGGCTCTTACGACACCCACGGGATGAATAGGGGTGGTGACACTCCGTATTCTTAATCCGTCCCTCCGGTATTTATTAAAATAAAACTTTAAGTACAAATCATTTTTTTGTATTAATATTTTGTACTGATTATCAGTAAAGTAGGTAACTACAGGTGTAATACAAATATTTAACTCCTAAAGTAGTAAAAAGTACCATAACGTACTATTCGTAACATTAATTAAAATAACAGTAATCTGACTGACCAAATGTTTTACATTCTTATATCTATACATATATTTTAATCTTTGACATAAAATAATTATTAACTTTCGTCGTTTCTTAAGTATTGCAAACAGTCTTGATCAATATTTCTTCAAATATTTAAGTTACAATAATCTCACAAACGTCAAAAATATAAATTTTATGAAAATAAAAAACGTCAATCTGACAAGCAGTTGTGGCAAACATATGAAAATTCCCCACCAGTGCAAGCTTCATAAGCCCAGTATTTACATACCAGACATTGCACCCATTTTTCTTTGCCTCTCTATTTGAATACGGCTCAAAACAACTAAGGCAAAAGGATCCTTCTTCTTCTTCACTGTCTTCGTTTCCTCTTTGTTTCTTGACAACCTATATCTTTTTAGTTGTAGTGCCCAGGTTTTGTTTCTTCAAAGTTGGGTTTTTTCACCTTTTTCTTAGCCGTTCAAGCTGCTTTGATTGCAGCTAGTTTATCCTTTACGGGAGTGTCGATTAAGATAGCTAATTTCACTTTGCGTCTATTTGTTTGATTTCCTTTCTTTGGTGGCCTTTGGCAAGGGTCTAAGAGTTTCAGGTAAGAATAGAAATGCTGTCACAGTATTAGTATCTCGTGATGATCTACATCACACATCTACAGGTGTTATATCAGACTAGATTCTGTCTACGACTTCGTCCGCGTGGCCTATAGCCTATAGGCTTCCTCGATAAATGGGCTATCTAACACTTAAAGAATTATTCAAATCGGATCAGTAGTTCCTAAGATTAGCACGTTCAAGCAAACAAACAAACAAACTCTTCAGCTTTATAATATGAGTCTAGGCTGTAAAGGGAACAACGGATCCAGTTGTAGGCATCGTGATAGTTTTAAGCATTACTTCAGATATCGCTATATCAGGTGAATTGAATTGAATGTCGCAAAGTTACTTACTACGCCATACCTCTGTCAGTCTTTCTTTTATAATCAGTAGCATGCTGAAACAAAATAAACAAAGTAAATGTACAAGATAAACTTTTTTGTGCCGGTTATTAACTGCTCTGATATAAAATTGAAAACGATGAAAAGTTTTTTCTTACCGAGGAGATTTGAAACAGGCTGTTTCAACTCTCCTCGGTAAGAAAAAACTTCCTTATTTTTATTTAATCCACAATCAAAAAGCAAATAGTTACACAGAAATCAATTGTACCAAAAATCTTCAGTTAATGAGCTTTTGAATCATATATAACTTGAATCAAAATACAAAACCCTTATCAAAATATAGGCATCCTACAGAAATGCCGAATCGTTCTCTTTTTACACGCTTTATATTAGCTTCACTTGTATGTTTGTATGTTTCTTTGTATGTTTGTTTGTAACTGACTCCTTTGGGCGTGATTTTGACTGACTTTGAACGGTCAGAATTCCTTCAAACTTATTAGATATGTCGAGGACCGATGACAAAACACTAATTTAAAAAAAATTGTTTTAAAAAACTAAAAACACGCTTTTATAGAAAACCAAACTAAAAAAATAGAAAATAAATTTTAACAAATTTGAAAAAAAGCGTTGGGTGCCTGTTGTCAATAGTAAAAAGCAAATAAAAAAAATAGTTTTAGTTTCTTAAAACTATTTCTTTTGCTTCAAAAGAGATCTGCCACGCCAAGGTTATAAAACTATGGCGTTACCTTCCATTTCTAAGTAATTTTTAATCAAATTATTACTATTTACTCATTTTTTATGTCGTCCTGCTAATCGCTATCACCGAGCGATAGAGTTGTTACCGGTTTGTAAATAGTTAGATTTCGTCCATGTCTCTCGTGCATATTTTCATTTTTGAGATTGTTTTCTGATATAGTATAATATTAATAATTGGAACGAAGTTCCTTATCGCGCGTTGTGAAAGGGGGCTAGACGGAAAAAATCTATCGAATAGATAGGAAATCATTACTTTTCATCTCAGTAAAATTAAAATTTATGTTCTTAGGTTGAGCAAAAGTATTCGACATCATTTCTCAAGGAGATTTTACCAATGTATAAGTTGTTTTAATTAGAAACCAACTGAAAAATATGTAGGTAATAGCCGCTTTCATAGATGGCGTTGTAATTAAAATCGTGTCGAATCAGTTTTACTCGATCGTCACAACTTCGTTCCTATCGGGTGTCCTACGACACCACACGGCTTTTATTTAATTTGATTAATATAATTACGTGCATTGTGAGCTTTTTTTTAATAGGTACTTTAATATTAAAATTGCGTCCAATCAAATGTAATACACTATTTACGAGTATTAACACATTATAATTAAAATTACTAAGTGTGAACTTTGTGAACGTTGTGAACGACCACATGGTTTTTATTTATTTTTTGCAGGTTTTCTAAAGATCCAAGTTTAAGGGCAGTGGCCTGTATTGCTCTATAAATATGTAAAGGCAACGAGAGACATGGATAATACTTAATGAGGGGACTACACACACACTCTAGATTAGAAGATATCATTAACTCATTGTCATCCTTTTTACTTTCGCATAAAAGAGACAACGTTATGTGTGTGTGAGTGACGACGTAAACAAGAGTGCGAGCGAGTGAGTTTGGTTTTAAACCGAATTAAATTGATCATTTAAATTGTTTGAAAACAATGAAAAAATGTTTATTTACCAACACAGAGTTTTTAACTTCTCAATAGAGTTTTTATAACTTAGGTAGGTAATATCTACGCTTGGCCGGACAAAGCAACTAGAACTAAACCCGCTAAGTATATCAATATCAGTATATCACACAAATATAAAATTGATTTTGGGCTATAGGCATGAATGTATGTACGTACTTACCACAGATTATATACATCCAGGGTATGGATGGTAGAGGTAAGGAGAACCATCATTGTGTATGAAAAATGACCGTCAAAATGCGTAAAATTGGGAGCGCTACAGTAGAATCAAGGTAAATTTTAAAGAAAGCGCCAAAAGTCATAGAGTAGGATAGAGAATTAAACTCAAGCCGAAAAAACGTTTTATATGCGTTACTCATGCAATTTCAATAACTATTTCCGTAAAATCATGGAATTATGTAACTATTTTTATTTTATCACAAGATGACCTTAATGACTAAATATAAATTTAAACCTTTAAAACTAAGCAAAAAAACCAGTAGGTATACACAATGAATAGCTTTATTTTGAGACTTAGTTTCTAAGTCACATAGTTAGACTTTTAACCGTAGTGTTGCGACTTTTCGAATTTACTTGTGTATGAATAATCACTACAATGTACGAATGACGGAACTTATTACTTTTTTTTAATCCAGGCGTCTTTGAGTATTTAATAATATTTAATTTTCAGCTGGCATCAAACTCTCAACGAAATCGCATAATTAAAGTTAAAAGTATGTCGATAATAATATAATTTTCGATTTTGATTAATTTGATAAGTAATCTATTTTTTGATCCCGTCCCTATTCTTCAAACTGTCAGAACTGTCAAACGGTACTCCTTAGATTAGATGGACTATAGACTGTGTACTAGACTGACAGATGAAATCGTTCTTAATATGAATTTTACGGACAATAACAAACTTCACTCCGGCTGTAACTGCAATGTTCTGCAGTGCTATAAGCGTCATTGAGGTCGGCTTAAGAACTATTATTCATTGCTTTTTAGTGGACGGGCACTTTTTCGGTTTGCCGTCCATACCAGATAGTGCTCCTTAACTCTACACTCCATCTCTAATCTAGGGGTATAATATGGTTTTCACCAGGGACTTCCTTTCTAGGGTATATCTGGTTCCCCGGCTATTAGTACCCGGCGAAGGCGTGCGGTTTTAGTCGGTGCGAGTCCGACATGCCACCGACAGGTGGTATCCGAGGGGATTTCCGCACGGAAAAAAAAAAAAAAAAAAAAAAAGGGGTATAAAATGGAACAAGGCCCCTGTTGCAGAGCACAATTAGTGTATTTTACTCTAGATCTATGCATGTAGCAAGATACTTTAGACAACAGGAAATCTAAACATGTGAACTTCAGTAAATTTATAAGTAAACAAAGAAAACATATATTATTTTATGTCCCCTGTTCAACTAGTAGCAAATCTTTTCCTCACTTTGCTTTACGATTGTTGTTTTTAATGTTAATGTGTTTACGTAATATCTAGTACTTATTTTGTGGCCGAAATCACAAAATAGAAAACGAAAACTAAATATAATCTATCGACTTTTTTTACGTTATTACAATTTTTTACCAAAAAAAATATTATTAAGCTACTTTAAAATGTAACTAAGACTTTTTGGGATCACTTGGTGGGATGGAATGGGATGCTAATTTAACTTTTTTTTTATTATCATAACAATCCATAACCATTACAAAACTGCATAAATCGGGTCGCACATGTTTGTCAAAATGACAGAACAGCTGACCGGACTGAAAAAAAAACCACTCGCAATGATTATCAGACATCTCCTTTTCAACACCACCGACTCAACTAACAAGATGCATTGACAAAATAGTGTATCGTAATTGGAAATCAAATCATTTTCGTAAATAATCCGATTAGTGAAAATCGTCCAAATCCATTTCGCATTTACAAACATGTCCACTAGTAGGTTAGATGCTGTCTACAGAAGTATACTTCTGACGAAATTTTTCACTAAAGGATGGGGGAAACCAGAGAATTTGCAAAGGTAATTTTCTAGTAGTAGTTGCAAATGTTGTGTAGTGTTGCGGTAAATAATTACCGCCAAATTTGAATTTGTGTAACTAGCTAAACAACAATTTTTGGTTTACGTAAACATTAAATTTTTAGGTTATTCGAGTTTAGAAAAGTAGTATCAAACCGAGAAGAATGTTTCAAATTAGTGGATAGAGACTACCCTGTTACAATCACTAAGGTAAATATTATTAAAATGTAATGCAATACTCATTAAAGTATGAAGAACTTTGTATGTGTCATAAAACAATTGCAGGAACAAAATTTAAATGACTGTAAACTTGTGGAAGGTTATTTTGTTACACCACTGGAGCGTTACCTGCCTGGAATAGTACCTGAGATAGCACAGAAGGCCCACTTCCAAGCTTTGCTGCCTATTCACTGGCCTGAACCAGATTGTAAGCCAGTCTGCCTGCATTTGGCAGGTACTGGAGATCATGTAAGTGTAAATGTCTATTGAGTATATTAACTTTCTTTCATATCCTTTATAGCAGTTTACAAAATTGGTTATTAAAACTATTATATAGGGGAGTGTAATTAAAAGACAACTAGTAAGTAGCATTGTTCATGAAAAATTCAATAATGTCAAACTAATTTTAAATGCATTAATATTAACAAAATAACTCAGTAACAAAAAGAACACACATCTATTCTCTTTTAATTCTCTTTGTTCTAACAAAGAGAATTTTCTGTTTACATCTTCTGTAAAACCTTGCATCTTGTCAATTTCATGTCTCTAGCTTAAAATTATTTTTTAGGCACATTTTTTAATGTTAATATTTGGATATTACTATTCTTTACATATAAGCAGATAATGAATTTATCCTATATGGATTCCTTATTTTTTTTAAGTAACTAACCCCATTCATTGTGTAGTATATGTATATGATGATCTAAAATTCCTAACAGATATATTTATATAACAAGTAAAGAGTTAGGCCGACTTAAACCATAGTATGTAGAGCCACATATTACTTAAAACAGTATAGTCTTGGCATTCTGTTTTTATGATTTAAGACAGTACCCACTGAAAGCTTTTTCCATGTTTACAACATCTGATGTTTATCTGGTGTCTACATTTATTGTGGGTGTTAATTAGTGATAATTTAGCATACAAGCAAGTGATAGACATTAAAGTAAGTACATGTACTAGTGACTCGACAATGTTTGTCATCTAAAGTACGAGTACTCTTAATCGCCGTTAATTTGTCATCGTCGAAAATTAAAATTATTTGCTGTAACTGATTTTAGAGTTTTTATTACAATGATTCAGGGATAGGTAAATAATTACAAAAGTCTTCCTTTTCCTGACATACTCCTTAATCAAATTTAAATGTGATAAACATTTGATAAACTATTTTAGCTACCTGTTCCCTGAATCCAGATTCTTCAATCAACATCTTTTGTGCTTTTCTCAAAATGCAATATTATATTATTACTAAATGACACGACAGCCTCATGACCGGCTTTACGGCGCTGTATAAGTTTGTAATAAGTCTAAGTTTAGTTGACGCCGAGTCCGACTTCAAATTAGTTTAAAAGCAATATAAAACATGGATATTGTTTGGTTCCCTCGTCCAAACCTACTAGCAAAAAAATAAGCACTAAGTTTCTCAAATTACATATATGTGTGTTAAATTACATATCAGACCACGGTATCGAAGGCCTGAACAACATAACCTTGATTAAGGTATTTACGTAATCGTTCCTATCGTGACTGATAACATTATCAATCATGAAATGGTACAATATTCGTCATAATGCTAGCATGTAGGTAGTATGTACATTAACGGATTTCTGTACGTAATAATGTTGCAATGTTATGTTCCAATAAGATTATACAGGAGTGAGATTATTTTTAACAATAACTATTATTAAAAATCATAATAAATTGTAAATCAAATCTGAGCTCATCTTACGCAGTTCAATAGATCTAAGTGTATTTAAAAATAAAATCGTTCAATCTTATGTATTTCGGTATCATCCCTAACTATCCCAGTTCACAAAACTTTTTAAAGTCTAGTATGGATTTATAATGATCAGGATTTTCTATAAAACAAGATAGTTATTTTGCATCTTTGAACAAGTTCTGTTTGCCATGTTACGGACCTCAACTGTGACGTCCATCGTCAAGTATCAAATTTTTCGATACACGACAAACTAGTAGGTATGCTATTAAAAGAACATTTGGTACTATTAGTATTATCCAAGGGAGAAGAGAGATCCGTAACCGTATCCGTATCCGTGACTTTTTTGGCGGATCTTTCAATACATATTAAATAGATGAAATTCTATATAGGTGATTTTGAATTCACTGTAAAGCTCTTAGGTATGTGTTTGTAACACTATAAACAGCAACTTTTTTTCTGGCCAACGTCAAAATGAAAAAAAAATTGGTTCTCCATTCAAATAACCAATCAAATGTTGTTAGTTTGTATGGAGAAACAATTTTTTTTCTTTCGTTTTCGGTGTTAGTCCAGAAGAAAAGTTGTTATTTATAATTTTACTAATTTGCACTTCAGAAGTTTTCAGTAAATTTAAAATAACCCTTAATAATGGTTATTATGTAGCTATGAAAAACTATTGAATTCTGTTCTGATTACTCTTTATTTCTTAAAACAAACGGCACGTTTGTATTGCAATCATTTATCGTACTATACTAAATCAACTAGGCAGGTCGTAGGTACTGAAAGAGCTATCTTTATAATGAGATCAATCAAACATCTTTGAATTAGCTTATTAAAATAATGAAATATTTAAATATCAACGGCAAAGCGTCAAGTGGCGACAACTATCAAGGTCACGGGCTCCGATTGAGAAAGAAACTTAAGATCCGTATCCGCGGATCTTGACACCAAATATCCGTATTCGGATCCGTATCCGCGGATATACTTTGTTAACGATCCGGCACATCACTAGTACTAATAGCAAATTAAACTATAGGTAGCTAATATTAATCCTAAGTAACTGTAGGCTTGCCAAGATAAATTATGGACTATTATTGTATTCATAGGATTTTATGACGTAAGAGAGAATAAAAAATATGTTCTGTGGTGTGGTGCGAAACCCGTCTGGTAAGTACTATTCCAGACATAAGAGAAGATAAAAGCAATTGTTTTGTTCGTCAGTTTTTAAGTTTCACCATCCGTAGTATTTTAAATGTGAGAGTGATAGTGCAGTGCTATTTTCTACAGCGCTGCCACAGCGTCGAACTTCAAACGAACTTAGTTTGAAGTTCGACGCTGTGGCAGCTGCTGATCTAGGTAGATTTATATAGAGTAAGATCAGCATATCATACGATCAGCGCATTGTAAGATCAGTGACTACCGCCTATGGCCATCTGCAATTAGAATGAATCAGGGCGAGAGGCTGTTTGGGCTTAGGTAACCGCACTCACTCGGTGAAAAAGTAACGAAATAATTGCTTAACATGGTTTGATGTGAGTCAATGGTGTTGCCCACGGCTAAATCAATCAATGTGTTTAAATCTAGTTAACAATCTGCTAGTTATAGTCAACTATAGGCAATCATGGACCTGTATTATTCCAATATTGTTGGCATAAACAAATTGGTCAAAATATTTACACATAAGATTGGCAATAATAAAAATAAATAATGACGTAGGTGTGTACAGTCAATATGATTTCTTTGTTATTTAGACTTTATTAATATTCTCTCTCGAATATTTTCATAATGCTCTACGTGATCACCTGTTGTAACGAGAGTCAGTAATTAGTAGATTATTCTCTATTGTTTAAACTTTGAAAAAATGCAGTTAAATCAAAAATATTCCTTGTCATTACTACGAGTAAACATACGTAGCAAAATTGCCACTTTTGTAAAATGCAATACCTTCTCGCCATAGAAGCCAAAGAGAATGGATTGACCATTAGAATACTGTGCCACTAGTATTCTGAAAAGGACATAGAACATTGTCTGTAAAGCTCCAAAAGGGGTTTTTATCTTAGTTGACTCTACACTACTCTACAGGCCTCAGGCCTCTCCTCTGATTGCCACTGCTAAACTTAGGCGTCTTGAATTTTATTTTAAACAAGGCTTATAGTTACACAACTATTTATATAGATTATCTTATCCACCAAATCGATCTTTAAAAGGTCGAAAAACACATCGTTAAGATAAATCTAACGTATGTAAACAAATATATTTATATATTTTCTTTATAGATAGAGTGATTCGTCTAACGTGATGAAGGACGATGTAACTGTAGCAGAGCAAGTTGGCTGACTTTTAGTTCATTCAACCTAAAAAAAAGTCGGTTTGAGTTAAGAGGATTAGCTGTATCTCATTTAGATACGATCGCATACTGACGCTGTTCCGATAACTTTACATATTGACTGAAAATAGAGTTATTGACGGACTATAACGAACAGAAGTCTATAAAATTTATATACCGAGATCCTGGATGACGTTTAACCATGTTTTGACACATTTGGGCCGGCTCCGGCTCTATGGGAGTTATACCGCGGTCTCACAGAAAATTTTTAAGCATTTCTTTCGTTGCTTTTCACGGAGTCAATGAGGTTACCAGACACACAAACCGCGTTTATCTCATAATCTATCTTAGGGCTGGGGCACGCATAGAGCAGTAACGCATTAGTGTTTCTTGAGTTACAAGTGGGCAGCGGTAGTTACTTACCACCAGGTGGCCTTCTTTTATTAAAACACTTTGAAGGAACCTGTTTCTTGGTTTTTGTGACAAAGAAATAATATTATTATTTCAGCACGTTAATTCAGCGCTCACCGTGACGATCGAATAAACTCTCACACGGGCCTCTGAAACACAAGGCCATTTAGTTTCAAACTAAGCAGAGCTTGTACTATGAAAACTAGATTGACTGATAGAATACTTACATACTTTTTTTTGTAAATACAAGTACATAGGTATTATACATAGAAAACACCAAAATATTTTGATATTACAATTACATTAGCCTGAGAAATGCCGGTGTGAACTATGCTACAATTTGCTTTTGCGACTTTGTTTATTAAAATCATCTCATTAATACCAGCCTCTGGCTCAAACTCGTTAAGAAAAGTAACTAATTATTTATATATTTTTACGTTACGTTACGTATACGAGTATATAATATATATACGAGTATATTACGGTACGTTACGTATATATATACTTCTGACTATATTTTTTCTAGTTTTTTTGGCGACGGCGTAACTTAATGGTGAAGCCATTGCTGAAAGAAGCTGGCCTGGGAGGTATTATACTAGAAAACCCTTTTTATGGACTCCGAAAACCTACCGATCAGATGTATGTATATTTATTTATTTTATAACTTTATACACAAATATATGAATCGGCGGACTTAATGCCTAAGGCATTGTCTGCCAATCGACTGATTGGGCGACCAAGCGGCGAAAGAACGAAGTAGGTGCACTTATGGGAAGGTAATAAAAGAAGAAATATTTATTTGTATCTTGTACTTTACATTCGTTTCGCATCGCTTAAAGTAAGTGTTTGACGTTTGTCTTGACTGACATCAGACGTTTGCTTAGGAACTAAAAGTAAATATAAAAAGGAGGAAAGTTTTATATGAAGTTAAACCAATGACCTGCTGCTGACCTTATCAAAGAAATCGTGGAGGGTCCAAACTGTATCCCACTTTTTCATTAGAAACAATAAAGCTTTTGAACAATTCACGTCAGTTTTTTATAATTATTACAATTTATATAGTTTGCAAACAATATGTGTGAATTTGTGTTACTGGCATTGATTCCTTGCACTACATTCACTAAGTTGCACTGCGATTGTCTTCATTCCACGTTTTACAGATTTTAGTTCCTAGTAATATTAGTAATAGGGTCCATAGACACTTAAGAGTCCAGAGTCCCAAGAATAGAGGACCAAGGTATGTAACAGTAGAGCTCGTTGGGTTATCACAATTTTAAGTGCCGTATTAGTTTGCCACTTATATTAGTAAACAATTTCTATCTAATTTAATAACTAAAAGTAGTGACTTATTTTAAACCTAACTATGACGAGGGTATTTGAATATTTATTTTTAAATGTTAATTCAAAAAAGTAGAAATCGTCGTATTTGGTAAAATTTTCATTCATAATTATTTTTTAATAATAATCTTTGTCTTTCGTACAACCTTCAAGGTACATTTGGTATGCTACAATTCAACTTCTAGTTTAGCAAACCATTTTTTGCTATAACTTTTTAGCTTTCCTATTTAATTTGTTTTAGTGGTACCCATGATTATTGGGGAAAACCGATAATCATGAAATTACTTATATTAGAAAGTATATTAGGATAGGATATTATATTAAGTAGATATAAAGTTCAATATACCATACCATAAGTAAGAACTTTCAATTTTAACAGATGATTAAATTCCAAAAGACTATCAGGTCTCATGTGGTGTGTCTCGTTGTGTTGTGATTGAATAAGAATTTATTTAAACATATATATTTTTTCTATTTTAGTGTGGAATCATGTCAGCAAGGATTTACTGAGACAAGTATAAGAAGTAATATAACACTTTGACTGTTACTCGCGGCCTGTTAGTTCGATAGCAAATAGTACTCCATAATTAATATACCCATCGGCATCTACACGAATTACTTAAGGACTATTTTCCTTTCGTTAGTCTGATTCTGTGATTTTTTTATAGACAGTTCTTAAATTTTTACAAGATTTCAATAGGTTACCATAAAAAGAAAATCATACCAATTGACATAGCGATCGCCGATCATCGTCTTTGTTTTGCTCTGTAACACATGTACAAATCCCGGTCTTATACCGTACACGCTAAGACATAAACTCACTTGTCTCTGACTGGAGACATTTTCATTTTCAGGTAGCGTCTATCAACAGTCAATGTGTTAATAAAGGAAATTTAATTTAAATATGTCCTCCAATATTTCTCCTAAATTTTCAGTCGGTCATCGCTACATAATGTGTCAGATATATTTGTGATGGGCGGTTGTTTAATCCTGGAGTCGTTGGTGCTGTTTCACTGGTGCGAACGGAATGGATTAGGTCCGTTAGGTGTTACTGGACTCTCTATGGGTGGCCACGTGAGTATATACTGTCATGAATGTCATATGTGTCATATCATGACAATTATAGAAGAAAATAATATTTATCTATGCTTCCTGGAAAAACTGGTAAGGAGTTACAAGTTAAGGAGGATTAGTTAACATATAAAACTATGTGATAGTAAAACGGTCCACAGATGGCGTCACTTGCAGCGACAAACTGGCCGAAGCCCCTTGTTTTGGTTCCATGCCTCTCTTGGTCAACAGCATCGGCAGTTTTCTTACAGGTAGATATAGTATCTGCAATAATAATAAAAAAAAAAAAAAAAAATTCTACCACCCACATACACACAACGCCATCTAGTCCCAAACTAAGCAGAGCTTGTACTATGGGTACTAGACAACTGATATAAATACATATATACTTTTTTTTTGTAAATACATACATATTATACATAGAAACACCCAGACCAAATCAAACATCAAATGTTCATGCACACAAATGTTTGACTTGAGCGGGAATCGAACCCGCGACCTTTGGAATAGCAGTCCGTTACACAAACCACTACGCCATCCAGTCGTCAAATAATGTTAATCTGCGACAGTCATTGCATCTTACGAGTCTAATCAAAAACTTCCAAGAACACTCTTTTTCAATTATTTTTTTAGAAGTTACTTCTTATCATTTCATTGTTTTTTTTTAATGAATAACATATATAATTCTTTAATAATTTTTATCTTTTAAAATAGGGTGTAATGGCTCAATCGATAAACTGGGATCTGCTAGAGGACCAGTATCTCTCCGACGGCAAGTACAGGGAGAAATTGTCAAAAATGGTGACCATAGTCGACGAGGCATTCCTGGCAGGTAAAAAATTTGCGCGCACCTACTCGCAAACGGTTACAAGCCCTCAAACAGAGACTATAAGTGACAAAAGTGATAATAATAAAGAAATAGACATAAGCTACAAAGAAAATAACATTAAAAGTGAAATATGTGATACAAAAAACAAAAATACTGTTTACAACAATGAATCGAATAATTTAGACAGTACAAAGTTAAAATTTAATGAAGTGCCAGCAACTGTTACCTCTGAATCTTTAAGTCAGACAGAAACCTTCAACGCCAAATTAAAACAGTTACGTGGTGAGAACAAAATTAGTGAAGTGCTATACAACAAGTTGATTTCCAATGAAAAGTTCGTCCTGGATCCGCAAGATATTAAAGACATCAACACCTTAACGGAAGAGATGATTAGGGAAGTGTTATTGAAATGTAAAATACTAGGTAAGTAGTAACTGCCGCGTTATATACATAACTAGGTATATGTGAGGGACCATCGCCCTTACCACTAACCTATTTCTTATAATTTTTTTAACCTATTATTATCTACATTTATTTAACCAGTGTGTCTAAATAATAATCTTTTACTACACTCTTTTTTTATTATTATTATTTTGTTTTTAAGATTAACAGAATGAACATAATTTCAATATTTTTTTAAATTTTAAAACAACTAAAAATCGTAAGTCAAATTTGTAATGTTACAAAAACAATACTCACATAAATCATTGAAGGGTCTAGCGGGATAAGGTAGGGTCAGCGACCCCAGAAAGATATTTTGAAATAACTCATTAAGCAATATGCGCGAGGTGTAAAACTACAATTAACCGACCCGTCTGCCCTTTAACAAAATATGTTAATATAAATAAAACATGTTTTTTACAACAAATCTTTGAAATTCTAGTGTTTTCTCTGCTATCATATACATGTATCATACATTTAAACTTTTCTCTTGCATCACTCTCTATTGGTAAAAACCGCATTAAAATCCGTTGCTTAGTGTAAAAGACCGGAGAAAAAACCGGTCAGGTATAAGTCGAACTCATGCGCCGAGGGTTCCGTAAAATTCGCAAAAATTTGTAAGTACCAAAATTTCTCTTAATTTTCAACTTTTTTTATTTTTTGGAATTATACCTTTATTTGTGCCATAAGACGTTTCTTTTTGCCAAATTACGTGATTCTAGGTCAACGGGAACTCCTATAGGGTACTTCCGGTTAACCTAGAATTGTCAATTTTGATTAAAGGCAAGGTCTGGGTCTGGATTAAAATTCAGAAAATGAAAAAAAGTTGCAAATTAAGGTACTTATAAGTTTTCGCGAAAATCGAAATTTGTGTTTTTATCGTATTGACTCAGGACCTTGATTTTTATACACCTAATAGGGACCATAGACCTCAGTATTTGGTATAAATTTCAACTTGTAACAGTGGCGGATTAGCCACGTAGCAAGAGTAGCAAATGCTACGGGCCCCGCGCATTTGGGGGCCCCCGCTCTTTCTGACCGTAAAAAAGTATCTACTTACTCGTATTTCGATCGGAGTGTGATAATATTTTTTCAAACCAATAAAGCCAAAATTCTTATCACGAAAGAGTTGCATCTAAATGTCAAACTATAATTTGACGGGCCTGTTGGTTTAGTGGTTAGTGAGCCTGCTAAGCCAGAGGTCGTGGGTTTGATTCCCACCCAGGACAAATAATTGTGTGATAAGTACGATGATTTGTTCTGTGTCTGGGTGTAATTTATCTATAATATGTATATATTGAGAAATATATAAGTATGTTTATCAGCAATCTGGTTAGAATAGTACAGGCTCTGCCTAGTTAGGTAAACATACAGACGTGTGTGTGATGTGTTAAGTAAAAAATTTAAACTTTTAGTACATTTCTAAAACTATGTTTTGCACTGCGACCCAACGCTGCGTGTGACACCCAAGCCAAGCAAATTGCCCGCGTGTGCTGAGCCGCGTCCTCACTGCAATCGGAGTGATGACAGGCGGGCTTCAATTCCCTCCTATCGAACGATTGCAGAATCAGCCGTACCCAGAAAGAACCTGCTCTGCTCTGGACGCTCTGCCCACTCAATGATTGGCCTCAACTCAACGACCGGTTGGAGTGCCTCTACGGCGGCAAAGCGAGCTCGTGGAGCCTCCAGGCTGGACCGACCAACGAGCCATCGTGGCTCGGCGAGAGGCTTTACGCCCCTCGCGCTCCTCTTCGGGTGGGGGCCGAGCACTTCCTTCCCAAATCCCACGAGAGTGTTCCGGCCAGGCGTCGACACGGTGCTATAACCATGGTTCTAACTGCCAATGCCCTCTAAGGGCGCCAGAATAAAATATGTTTTATAAGCTCAGACTTATTTTAACAGTGGCGTGCAATCATTTTTTGTATTAGGCTGAGTAAACATGCTTTTTATATTCAAACCCAGAATAATATTAATATTAAATCTTAACATTTGGTAATAAAAATCAATAATGACACAATAGTAAACATACAACACAAACTGCACAATAGACATTGAGATAATATGTCCATAATCCATAGCACTTACATAATTTTGGTGAATGCGCGCCCTATGCCGGGCGGCCAGAACTGCCGTCCACACTGGGGCACCGTACAGTGCCATTGACTGGACAGCCCCGTGTACAGCTGTCTTGAAACGATGCTGGGTGGGCAAAAGTCACTTAAGAGCAGACGCAGTGCCGACCAGTTTAAGGGTAAGCTCATCGAAGAGCCATCTCCCGTCAGATATCAGGCCCATATCCTTCATCTGGGCCTGAACCGGTACGTTGACCAAGATGACCACGATTGAGGCGCCAGGGGGTGGACTACAACTAGGCCCAAGAAATAAGAGGCCTCCGTCTTATCCAGGACCACCTTTAAGCCAACCACCAAAGAGACATCCCAGGTCCCCCTCCTACCCACAGACAACCAAAGTGTCGTTGGCGTAACAGATTACGCCCAGCCCGGGGGAAGTCTCCTCGAGGGGCCTAGTCGTACCCTATGTTCCACAGGAGGGCCCAAGACCAGAGCCCTGTTCAACACCACATGACATGGGCCAACGTCTCCAAATTGAAACAAAAACTATAGGGCTTGTTTCTTGAAACTTAAAACAAGCCCGAGTAGGGTTTGTTTCAAATTTGAGACTGGTATAACCAACCCGTCTGGCCAGCGTAGCATAGCAAACAAAAATCTCCTTTCTAAGGAGAAGCCCATATCCAGCAATAGACTGTTGAGGATGATGATAAATTCGATAAACTAGATAACCTAAAACCACCCAAGGGGCCCTTGGTAGAATTTGCTACAGGCCCCGCACTGTCTTAATCCGGCACTGACTTGCTAGGTCTACCCGTTCCTGAGAAAATCGGTGACACACGGACAGACGGACAAGAAAGTGATCTTATAAGGGTTCCTTTTTTACCTTTTGAGGTAAGGAATCCTAAAAAGCGATTTATGCACTTTTGGTACTAATACTAGACATAGTAAACTACATTATATATATTTTTTCTGTGATTGTACCTTTACGTGAATTATGAATAAAAATTTTTTTTAGTAAACACGACAGATAAATAAATTCCATGTAAAATATATAATGTAGACTAATATTTTGTCTAACGATCAGTTTTTGTTTCATTAGTGCAGCTGTAATAGTTTTCGAAAAAAAAAAATTTGAAAAATACCCACTCTAGCGTCTTTTTGATCAATTATCTCCAGAACGCAAAAAGATGAGAAGGTGAATTTCTGTTAATTGTAGTTTTATACTTCACCGATGTATTTTTTTTTATTTAACGACATTATATTAAACGTACTTGATTTCGAGTACAGAAAAACAGTGCTTAAATAAATTACCTTCCAATAACTGACTTTATCCTTTGTATTTTCAGAAGCGACCAACTGCAAAACAGATGAACATCAAAATACACCACCGGCAACTATGGAGAACAAAAAAAGTTCAGTTCCAATAAACGAAGATCCAGATATAATTAGCCAAAATCCAAACCCCTTAAAAGATCCTCTAAAATCCATAGACCTGTCTGTAAGAAATGAAAAAAATAGAGCAGGTTGGAATTTATCAGAGTTTACTTCAGATCTATGGGTGAATCTGCCATTCCTGAGTCGGTCGAGTGTGAAAAAGATAGATATAAGCAAAATACACTGGAGGGACAGAGAGGCGTTACAGTTCATGAGAGGGATCATGGATGAATGCACGCATCTTAGTAACTTCTCTGTTCCTTATGATACCTCTCTAATTATAGGTATGTAATAACGATACCTGTACATAGAATATATACTTACAGTCCTAATGATTAGTAGTGAATGTCATAACCTAACATTAGAAAATAACCAAATAAAAATGGCGAAAGACATTGTTTAACTGAAATGGGTGTGTGAGTTTTGGCTCGTATATTTCATTGCATAGGATTAATTGCGACTTCATGGTTAAGAGTTTGCCAAGGATATATATATATATGCGTTATAACGTTTTGGTTTACAACTTCTCCACATGTATTATCTACATAGTTGCAGTTTGGCAACAACAACTTGGCTATAAGACAATATTTATTCTCCTAAATATAGATAGATGTTTTTCATGTTATGACGTTGACTGATGTTGTTGACGGCCAAATGGCGTGATTGTGTAACGGACTGCCGCGCGAGAGGTCAGGGTTCGATGCCCACTAAAGTCAAATTAAACAAATGCGTGTATAAACATTTAATGTTTGATTTGATCTGGGTGTTTCTATGTATAGTATGTATGTATGGGGTCTACCAATAAGAACGTCCTGGTTTAAAAATTGAATAAAACACAATTTTTTATGAAAAATGCATCCGATTGATTTATTTGATAGCTAATTTTATGCAATTTATGTTTTAAATAATATATCGGCCAAATGACCGCCGCGGCTCTTTTTGCAGACGGTCACCCGCTCACGCCAATTTTCGATGACGCGGTGCACCATTTCGGCCGGTATGTCGGCTATGGCTCGTCGAATGTTGGTTTTTAGGTCACGAATTGTAGCTGGATTATTGCTGTACACTTTAGATTTAACGTAACCCCAAAGAAAATAGTCTAAAGGTGTTAAATCACACGATCTTGGTGGCCAACTGATCGGTCCATTTCTCAAAATTAACGACTCACCAAACTTTCCACGCAATAATTCCATGTTCACTCGAGTAATGTGAGGTGGTGCACCGTCTAGTTGAAAATAAAGGTCGTCTGCATCAATATCATCAAATTCCGGAAAGAAATATTCGGTTAACACCGAGTTATAGCGCTCGCCATTCATAGTAACAGGGTTTCCTTCGTCACTTTCAAAGAAGTTTTGGACAATTTCCAAGCTTTGGTTTAAAGTGAAACGTGACATGATAAAATGGCAAACCTTACTGAACACAAATGTCAAGAGACGTCAAAGATCCATCATCAAACATGGCCACTATGAGCTGTCAAAACCAGGTCATCCCTATAGGTAGACCCGTTACTACAATCGAATTTAGTGTAACAAATATATCATACCATTTCAATATCCTTGTTTATCCACTTTTAGAAAAGATATTTATTATATAGGCCGGGGTCCGTTGTCTGTCTTGTGATTCGAGAGACGAGGACTAGTACTTATTTTATTTTCCTTTTTTCGAAGTTTTTTATAAGAACATGTTGTTGCAGCTGTATGCGCTAAACACGACGCTTACGTGCCGCGGGACGACGTGGGCACGCTGGAGGAGATCTGGCCCGGTGCCGAGGTGCGCTATGTTGACGCCGGCCACGTCTCCGCCTACATATTACATCAGTCGCTCTTCAGGTAATATCTAACTGCAGGATAGAGCAACAATAGAATCTCCTCACGTGAAAATTATATTTTATTTTTTATTTATTAAATTCGTATTTGAAAAAAAATCAATAAGATAAGAGTTTCTGCGGGGCGAAGTGGGACCGGGAGGGACTTAAACCCCTCTCCCGGCTAATGTGTTCCCGGCTCCCGGATTGGACCAGGTAGGCGGCTTAAGCGCTGGTGCTCACTGAATGATCTCCGCCCTTAATAGGGTCGGCGCTGACTGACGTCGCAACACGGTACGGCTTGGTAATTTATATTACTGATCAAGTTCTTTTTATCCTTATTTCCATGTCTTTAGACTTCATATTATTTTACTTTTACCTTTTCTATACAACTACTCCGCGTCACATCTTGGTATATAACAGCCATACTAATTGAAATAAGGTTTAAGCCCGCTGGGGCGATGTTGTCGGCGAATGGGTGTGCGTTACCCCAGCAAAATAATGTCGAAAATGGTCATTTAAACTTTATAGGTAATTAGTTGCTCCCCTTCTGTAATTGTTAGGCACATTTTTAAATTTGTTTCACTTAAACTTTTTTAGTTATTTCAAAAAAACATTTCCTGCTGGGGTAACGTTTGAAACGTTACCGCAGCCAGACATTTTCTTTTTTAATTGTAATATTGAAATAAATTTTAGCTAGATAATTAGTTATCTGGACTAGGTAAATGTTACAACTTATTTGGTATTTGTATTTTCTTCGGCTGCGAAGTTATTCGAAATCCTGCTGGAGTAACGTTTGTGGGTTTGCTGGATCTCTGAAACGGGTAAGCGGATTGTAACCATCTTTTGTGCATAACTTCTTAAGGATTAGTTTTAATTTGTTCGACAATAAAATAACAAAAATAATGGACCGTTTAAAAATTATTTATGTAAGTATGAAAACACTTCAATACGTCCTAACACTTTAAATAAGACCTCTAAAGACTTACTTGAAACGTTATTCTATTGCTTGTAACTACCTTCAAATGTATACGAATTTTCGTAAGAATACTGTAAGTGACTAAAAAGTTATGATGAAATGTAGCTCTCCACGTTCACGATCACAATGTGTGCGGCCTTTTTTGGCCACCGATAAACCTGTGTGTGGATATATAAACTGAATGTTATGCCAATAATTAGTTGTTTAGTTCAGTTGTCTACCTGTAGAATTTCAGCGTCGTACATATAATAATTTACGAGATAATTAAATAAAAGTCATTAGAAGGTGCAAGTCCGTGGTAATCCAACCATGTTTAGGTGGTTACAAAAAAGCGATCACCCAGTACATTGCGCTGTCTTTTAAAATGTTTAGTGTAATACACCTTACGATTTCGGTACAGTTGCGTACAGTTTTAAATACATTCAATATTTATTCATTATTATTACCTATTATTTATTTTGTTTTTTTCCCTAATTGATCTTAAGCACTTGTTTCTTTACTTAAAATTTATTTAGTCTTTTTTACTACCGGAGCTACAATCAACAGAAAATCTGCACTGGTCCGCTAAAATTATAAATATGTAGATACATGTATGAACGTTTCACCTGACTGCAATAAAACGAAAATTTAAACCAATAAGAAATCGTTTCATTTCTTTGATTTTTTTTTGTAAAGAAATAACACTAAAGTAATTGTATTTTATTTTGGGGTGTATAGAGCTTAGACTTGAATGCATCAAAATATTTAAAGCAACAAGTCATCTACAATAAGTTAAAATAGACCGAATAGTAGAAGAATACAGTTGTAAATTAGAATGCATCAACATTGCATCGCCCAACAGTCGTATACCTCGTAAGAGTAGGTAATATTGTTCTGTGGTCTATATTTAGAACCGAGAATTATCTATACCTATGTACCTACCGTTAAGCGTTGAGCCCGTGACTGTTGATTTCTGTTTCTGTTTTTGATATAATAACGGTAATTTAATTTATCGAGTGAAAGTGATACATTTTTGTAGATAAAATTATTGGTCAGATAATATTTGTCAATCAAGAATCGCTGATAACACATCCTTCGCTAGAACGCGGGAGGGGAGGGGCGAAGGGATACTTCATTGTTTGCCTTTTGCATCTAGTGCACTAAACTTGACCCTTAGGCAGATAATATACGTGTTGTAAAGTACGTGTGCGCTTCCGCTTCCTATTTTTGCAAATATTTATCGTATTCTTGAGAGTTCTTCAATATGTGTGTACCTAATTACTAATAATAGGCATTAATGCTAATTCGATTCAATTTAAGTAATTGTCAATTCTTGTCTTAGGATATTAATTACTAATGCTAATATTGAAATTTCGTTCAGGGTGAACAAATTAAAAACGATCATAACTTTTAGGTAGGTATATCACTTATTACTAATTTTACATAAATAATTTATTTTATTATAATTTAACTCACCGCGATTTGTGCGAGTGATCAAATATTTTATTTTCTCCAACATTATTACAGAAATAATGCAATACAGAGTTTGTTCGCGATATGCAAGCCTAAGTCGATTCATCACTTAAAAAAATCCCCATCTATTCACAAAATACCTATTTACAACGCATACGTTACACTCTTCAAAACTTATCATTTCATTTCATATTTCTTAAATTACCTATACCTACCCTAAAATTAAACTTCAATTAACAAATACTACGCAGGTACCAATTCTATGAACAACTATAAACAATTCACCTAAACATTACGAGAACACAAAAGCATTCAAAACAATACCTAATCTCCCGGCTGATTACTAATTATGCAATAAACAATCCTAAATAAAAAATATTTAAAAAACATGTAGTTTTTTGTAACACTTATGTACATATCCGTAGTAAACTTCCAAATAATATCCTACATATTTTAAAAGCCAGCACAATGTACTGGGTGATCGCTTTTTTGTAACCACCTAAACATGGTCGGGTTACCACGGTCTTGCACCTTCTAATGACTTTTATTTAATTATCTCGTAAATTATTATATGTACTACGCTGAAATTTTACAGGTAGACAACTGAACTAAACAACTAATTATTGGCATAACATTCAGTTTATATATCCACACACAGGTTTATCGGTGGCCAAAAAAGGCCGCACACATTGTGATCGTGAACGTGGAGAGCTACATTTCATCATAACTTTTTAGTCACTTACAGTATTCTTACGAAAATTCGTATACATTTGAAGGTAGTTACAAGCAATAGAAAAACGTTTCAAGTAAGTCTTTAGAGGTCTTATTTAAAGTGTTAGGACGTATTGAAGTGTTTTCATACTTACCTAAATAATTTTTAAACGGTCCATTATTTTTATTATTTTATTGTCGAACAAATTAAAACTAATCCTTAAGAAGTTATGTACAAAAGATGGTTACAATCCGCTTACCCGTTTCAGAGATCCAGCAAACCCACAAACGTTACTCCAGCAGGATTTCGAATAACTTCGCAACCGAAGAAAATACAAATACCAAATAAGTTGTAACATTTACCTAGTCCAGATAACTAATTATTTAGCTAAAATTTATTTCAATATTACAATTAAAAAAGAAAATGTCTGGCTGCGGTAACGTTTCAAACGTTACTCCAGCAGGAAATGTTTTTTTGAAATAACTAAAAAAGTTTAAGTGAAACAAATTTAAAAATGTGCTTAACAATTACAGAAGAGGAGCAACTAATTATCTATAAAGTTTAAATGACCATTTTCGACATTATTTTGCTGGGGTAACGCACACGGCGAATGGGGTGCAGCCTGGACTGGGCGCGTGGGCAAAGGAGGAAGCACGCGCATCATAACTCACACTGAGTGTCTCTCGTGTTCTCCACAAATGATGTACCCAGAATTGTTTCTGATTCAATATATCAGTTAGTGTTTGTCTCTCTTCATCTTCAAGAACTGCTAATAATACTATAGTCCATCAACGTCGTGCGCGACCGTCCTGCGGGGTGACAGACGGTGGCGGGGACGAGGTACTTAAGATGTCAGCGGGTAGCGGGTGGTGTAGCGGGGAAGGGAATCGTGTGTAGCCGTGTGCTAGAATGACGCGCTACCTCGCCCCCGCCACTGTCTGTCACCCGCGGGACGGTCGCGTACGAGATTGCCGGGTGGTCCCGGATGAATCCCAGTCAATCAGAACGACGCAACCAACTTTGTATTCGCGCAGACGAAACTGATTGACTGGGGGGCTATTCTGTATAATTCGCGACATATGGTAGCATGATAATCTGTAGAATGAAACCGCATGACACGACATGCTGCGGCGTCCTGCGACGTTCCAGAACATGATGCGGTATGATGGTATCGAAATTAAATAATATGATTTCTAAACTCATTGAAATAAGGATAAAAATAACTTGATCAGAAATGAAATCCATAGCCACCCCACCGGCTGTCCGGTGGGGGATGTCCAAAGGGCGATTTCCGCGCGGAAAAGGGGCGGCTTCAACGGTATTGCAAGCGGGCGCTCGAACAGCTAGCGGTGCCCCTTTGCTGCCTTAGCGGTGTAATACGATACGTGAGGCCTCGGGTTCGGTTCTCGGATCGGGCAAAATTTTATAAGGTTTTTCTGAGGATAAATCCTTTTTAAAAAAAGTTGAACCGGCTTTTAACTATCCTAAGGAGACTAAAAACCTAGCAGCAATCGCGGATTTGCTGTCATTTTTTGAAGAGTTCCGTTGTCTGTCTCCAAAACTCATCATCATATCTATATGAAATTTAAATGACACCATTTTGGAATAATTTAAAATATTAATGGATTGAAGCATCATGGCAAAAAAGTAAATGCAGCAACACTATTACAGTGTTGCGTTAATAAACGGTCAAATAATATAGATATGTCAGCTTGTATTCCAGCTGTGTGGTGACAGATTAAGACAGACCTATTCATCCCGTGGGTGTCGTAAGAGCCGACTAAGGGAGCAAACTATGCAGGACAGCAGCACGGCAAAGAGAAGGAAAACTGACACAAACCCTATACCAACCCGTCTGGCCAGCGTGGTATAGTAGGCCAAAACCTCCTTTCTAAGGAGAGGCCTATGTCCAGCAGTGGACTATTTAAAGGTTGTTGATGTGATTTTGAAATAAACCCCTTTCGCACAAAAAAAGAATTTTGCATATCCGTCCATATATGACGAGAGTTAGACGTGTACATAAAAAAAAAACATCCGAATTGACAACCTCCTCCTTTTTGAAATCGGTTAAAAAATAGCCTAAGTTACTCCTTATATAAACGGCTACCTGGTAGTAAAATATCATCGAAATGCAAATAACCGTGTGAGCATGAAAAAAACCTATTATTTTCACATTACAAACAGACACCTCAATTTTATTTATTTGTATAGACTAGATGTGTGTAGCTTGGTGTAGTGTAGCCGTATTGAAACAATTTTTAAATATATCACTCATTCTCCAAAAAACAAATGTATTCAACATTCCAATTTTAACGTTCCTCCACATTCACTTTTATTTATAAATGTATCATATACAAACCGGTAAATAAAATGTTTTTTCTTATTTCCATTTTATCTGCCTAATGTTTATAGAAACGTTTCTGTAAATGTGACATTCTTTACAGATCCTGCATTAAGGAAGCTTTTGAACGATCAAAGAAAAGATGGAAAGACGGTAAACACATTGATTGATTGACGAAAGTATAATTCTAGTCTTGACTAGTACAGGTACTACAATCTGACTGGTACTGGTATGGTGCTACGGCTGTTGGACATCTACACTCAGTGGATAAAATAGTGCTTTATACAAATGTTTATAGATAATTTGTTACAATTTAGTTACTAAATTCGCGCCAAATAGAGCGTAAATATAATTTATGTTACTGTTTTTATCATACAGCCTGACTCTGATAGTATAAAATTGACGACTAGATTTGCAATGAATGATATATATTATAGGACTTCGCACAAAAAAACGGTGCTTTTAATGTAAACAGGAAATGCAAATACTTTTGCTCATACACACCTAGTTTTGAGGTGTAATTTCTGATGTGCAATGCTTTTTACAGATGTTTATTGTAAACGTTTTTTGATGTATATAAGAGTATAATATAGTCTCTATTGAGACTGTAAAGGATACAATATATTTTTATAAATAAAATATATATGTTTTCAAATACTTGTTTCATTTTTAATGGTGAATTAGTCTAGCCTAATAATGGTAGAAGCAAATTGATGAAAAAAAGAAAAGTTACAAGACTTAGTACAACAAAACTCATTTATTCTGATAACCTTTCGACTTCAATCACGTTGTAACTTAAAACAAAAAAATATATAAAACAAAATATATATTCTGTTCTAAAAAAAATCAGAACTGTAAGGTAGTAGGCGTAGACTGTGTAAAACGGACAAACTGACGCAGGCGATGACTTTTCCATCTAGTTTTTCGTAAAAGACTTTAGTTATTGAACCTTTTGCGTCAATAAGTCGAAAAAATGTGCTTGGGAAACCTAAATATTGCTCTTAGTTTTAGACTAAATTTAATCATTAAAATAATAAGAAGGTAAAAGTATTAAATACAGTAACAACAGTTTATGTTACTTACAAAAGGAATATCAAGTAGGTAGACGTTCTTAGTCCTTAATATGAGGTATGAATGAATGCCTCTCGATTTGCAGTACTTAAAATATTAAAATTGTAAGTCTTAGAATATAAACAAAAATTTATGAATAATAAGCCCTAAGCTTAGAGAATTATGGTCGACAATGGGGTGTATGTGTATTTATCAAGCGTTGTAATAAACATTTTACAATAGAGTAACTGCTAATAACATGGTGCTAATCACCTGCAATACTTTAGTGCGAAACAGTGTCGAATAATTGAAGTCTGTACACTAACAGGAGAAACTGCACCTATAACATGATCTTTATGAAAATCGTTACAAAAATGAAAAAGATTTAATGGCCTTTGTTCCTTCTATCCCCGAGCAGCTTAGTAGAACTCATACATTTTTAAGAAGTTATATAATTCTCAATAACATAGACATATAAATATTCTCCAGGTGAAATTTGAAACAAAGATTCAGTTTTAAACCTGAAATTTTGGACATAGTTCGCTATGTACGGCATACAGAGTTAAAGTACTGCATTTGCAAGCTGTCTAGTGACTAACTGATCGACCTCATAGCCTCGACTACGTACAGACTAAATATTATTATGTTCGTTTGTCCTGTTCTTGAGCGACGAACTATTAACGCAGTAGAAAATAGTGACGCATCAATCAAGCCTCGCACCCTGACCAGGCTTTCGCACCAAACAATAATTTCTTGGAACTTGATTGATGCGCCACTTTTTTGTTAACGCGAATGGAGTACAGTATCATTCATCTTTTAAGAATGTATACTTGTCTATCTCAATAAATCGAATACCCTATTCTTACTCCAATAGCTGCACGATACATTACCCTAATTCATCCCACTACTTGCATTCATTAGTTTTTGTACAGTTCTTGTGCCATGAACTCATGACTCATGGATTGCACACCCATTATTGCAGATAATTAAATCACCCTTCTATATAACTCTTATTATTATTATTACTAGCAACTATGAAATTACTTACACAAATAAGTACTCAATGGGTATTCCTTTCGTTATTACCACATAAATAGCAATATTTATAATCAAGTTTTATATGATAGCGTCAATCCCACAGGCTGGTTGTAACTTTCTTTACAAATATACACTCACACCCTTTTTACTGAGTGTTTAAGCAGAGCGGTACTAAATAAAATTGGCATTATTAATTCGACCAGTATGTCGGTTGAACCACATTGACCACTTTCTGAACAATACGGTATTTTAACACACCTAATCTTTTGTACAAAACCAAATACCTATCTTATAGCAACCAACAAATTCCTTGTAAAAAATATTTTGTTTGGCAGTGAACACATATCAAAATTTATGATCTTCCAAGATATTTTTAATTTATAAAAATAAGTAAAATTTCTTTACTTAATCGTAGTGTATCTTAGACACACTAATGGCTTTTTTAAACCATTGTTACGTCAAAGGGTCACACGTATATTGCTCAATTCACTAACCAACCTGCAGAATATACGTTACAAATGATACTTTGATGTTGAAAAATCACACAAGCTTGAAGAATATCTTTAAAACTGTATTGTGAATTCGCACTGTAATGAAAACTTTATCAAACAAAATTTTGTTTTATTTACAAGACTAAATTGTTAATTTACTTGTTATTTCTTGTTGAGCAGCAGTGAGCGGAAATCGCTGTTGCTTAGTGGTCGCTTCTCATCGCTATTGCTATTGCTGAGACTGCCATTGGTTGTTTGGCTATCGTTGGCTGGTGACGTAAATGTGTTTATTGTTACACCGCTCGTCGACGGCCTCTGTAGAACGCTTGGGATGAAACTGCTTAGTTGTGTTCGTCGCCTAGAAAGTAATATTTTATTTGATATACATCTTTTTAGTAGGTAAGAACGTCAAATGCGATACTGTTTAAAAAATAATAACATTATAATTAGCAAAAACATCTGTTATCGAGTAGCAAAAATATATATAGACATATATATATATATTTATATAAAAATATATAATATTCGATTAGATATTATAAAAACATGAACATTCTAGGATACGAGTGGATAATTTTTCGCTCGCCATAAGAATTAAAAAATACAAGTTTAGTTACGAAAACATATGAACGGGGTCATATATTTTATGCCTGGAGTCGTCTTTAGACCTCGTTTAGAATCTGCAGTCGTAGGCCGTTTAGATCGTACGTCACGTTGAGCGGGCACCATCACGGCTAATCGTAAATTCATGTAAAGGGCTCGCGGTCCTGGAACGGTCTATATCTGTGGCAGCAGTATCGGTAGAGTAGAGGAGTGACTCACATGCCTCCCCCCGCGTCCCTCTTGGGCGCGCCGAGCGCGGGCGGTGCGAGGGGCGGTGCGAGGGGCGCGGCGCGCGGGGGCGGCGCGCTCAGCGCCACGTCGAGCTTCCTGTCGCACAGCACTAGCCCGTGCGCCTGCTCCACGGCTCGCGCCGCCGACGACTCGTCCTCGTATTCTATATACGCTAAGCCTTTCGCTTTGCCGTCTCTGAAATTAATTTCAATAGTATTGTTACATAATTCGGTCGAGAACCTTCCGAGAGCTCATTAACGTGAACATTTTAATAATAACGCAGTACAGCACTAGACTACTATTATACGACACTTTATTTCTGTACACCTAAGATCGGAAATAGATTGTCGCCTGACGTTGTTTGCTTTAAAATTACCTATCCTTACCTAGAACTACCTTAAGGGAACTACCATTGAGTAGGAGTTATAATAAATACGTGCACGTTTTCACCGATTAAACAGTTCAGTTTGAGCTACACTGCGATAAATATCGGTGTGTTCGGAATAGTAACATAGGGATCTCGACCATCATTTTAAAACTACTATTGAATATTAGATGGACTCATTTCAGTGGACATATATGTTGTGAACATAATTTTTCAATCGTTTATGCTAAGGTATTTAAAAAAACAAACATTACATTCATTAAATATACTTTCTTTCTATTAAAGTAACCGGAAATATATTATTGATGATAATTCCTAGATAATTCCTACAAATAGGATCCAATTCAGGACATATATAAAACAATTTGTAAATGATTCTTTGAGACGCTATGTTTTTTTTTTAAATCCGTTGCGTATTTTAAACACAAAATTAAATGTTAGAAAAAGTTACACTAAAACTTAATTAGGTGTTACTTACTTGTGTGTGACCACCCTTATATCCTTCACTTTGCCATACTTATCGAATATTTCTCCAAGTGCTTCTTTGTTACATTTTGAGAAGGGCAGGTTCTTTACAAACAATTTATTTTTCTCAGCTTCTGTAGAATATTTGAATGTAGGCTTGCCCTTTTTTGCCGAATATTGAGAGAAGAACATAGGGCGACCGTCGAGGGGACTACGGTCGTGTTTCAAAGCCTCTTCTACAGCTTCCTGTAAATCAAGGTAATTTTCAACATTATCAAAACGTTAATTATCAAAAACTTGATTTAAAAGTACAATACGAAAAATATCTCTGTGACAGATCCTCGTCTTATGACCATGACAAAGAGGACATTAAGAGAATTCCTCTTGATGGTATTGCCCAAAAAAAAGAGAATATTGATGGAATACCAAAAGTGCTGAATTTAAAGAAGACACATGCAACATATTTTTAATTTGAGCGCATAAAAAAAGAATAATCTTTCAGGGCTGTAGGCTGAACATATCAGCTATTTTACTAGATCTCTCTGTCGTTAAAGTTCTGCCTGGTGACTACCACTAAAAGTACAGTCATTCAGAAGCTAGAGAAAATTCTGAAGAGCTCCCTTGGTGATGATGATGAATTTAAATTAAAACTCCCAAATTCCTAGTATTGCCAAGTCAATTCTTAAACAGTATTGCCCCATTAACATCCAATAATTCAGTATATTAAACAGAGACCGTTTTCATGAATCATGATTTTTAATGAAATGAAATAAATAGGATGTAATAAAAATAATGGTGCATTAAATATTTAAAATACTTGCTGTTGTTTTATACTGGCAGTAGCAGATGGAGCCACCGAAAGCTTTGATGCCTTTTCTGACGCGCAGTGAGATAATGTCGCCATACTGTGATAATATATCTCTTAGTTTCTGCTCATCGACTCTGTAATGTATTATAACAAATTAGCATTATGAACAAATTAACACTCTGCGAACTTGGGAAAGTCGCTGAACAATAGATTCATAGATTTTTCGAATTTGAAATTCAGACGTCATTAGAATTAATAATTATTAAATAAAACGCAATTCCTGCTTAGGTGCGTCGGGGCCGTAATCAAAACGATTTCTGTTTGCTTCTGTTTTCTTTTTTTGGACAATAAGGTGAGAATATCAAAGAAAGCACTAACACTCATGTGACGGGCAGCATAAGGATTTATTTCGGTTCATGCTTTCAGTTTGCAGTTTCTGGTGCTTTTTTTAGTCAATCATGAAGTAACTCAACTTCAAAGTTGAGTAAATCTGTTTTGCAATTTTGTACAAAACTTACTTAAATTCCAAGTTGCTAACAAACAATGTGCAAGCGTCTCTTGTGCCAAGACGATGTGGACTTGTTGAATTTTCAGTCCTCTGACGTTTTGTTATGTCTCCATCTGTAATCATAAGTATTCTCAATCGTTTTCTCAATTTGTTATTTAGGGTAACCTCCTTTATGACAAACAAAAATGTTTAAAATTTTATTAAAACAATATACATATAATTAAGTATATTAATGAATTATGAAAACAATATTTTATCTTGTTGACCTCTGCTGCTATTCTTAAATTGAGTTGGGCCTCTGTCTAACAAATGTGACGTAAACAGTATGTCCCTACAATATTTATAAACCCCGAGCTGTAACCTGCCACGCTTCGCTGTGGGAAATTATGGTTGCAATAAATCAATAAAAACCATCCGCTTTGAGCGTATTGTACAACATGTAAAAATTTGACCTAAATAGGTGCCAAACTATTTGTTTTTGAAGCATACATGCCAACTTAATATTTTTATATAGATATAGATAATTCGCACATGAATGTTATTTATTGCTAAGTTATACTAATTCAGGGTCAGCGTGGGAGAGCCATGCTTCGGCACGAATGGGCCGGCTCGACCGGAGTGATACCAGGACCTCACAGAAAACCAGTGTTAAGCGATTCTTTCGTTGCCTTTCTGAGTGAGTGAGGTTACCGGAGCCCAAATCCCCCTCCTGCCTGCCTGCTGCCTCGAGCGGGAGGGGCTAGGGCGGCAACGCACTTGTGACTTTTGAGTTGCAGGTGTCTATAAGGCGGTAGTTGCTTACCATCAGGTGACCCGTCTGCTCGTTTGTCCCCTTATACAATTATAATATTATATATAAAAATAAACAATAAATAAAATAATTACCCTCATCATCATCATCTTCATGCAACCTCTTCACTCCTCCACCACTGTCCTTGTCAACATCCATTTGCATATCTTTCTTCCTCTTCACATAACTATCATCATCTTTTCCGTCTGATTTTCTTTTACCCTTCTTATCTTTAGCTTCTTCTTTCATAGCCTTCTTTTTCTCTACCTTTACTTTCTTGTTCTCCGGCTGTTTTCCTTTTTGTTTTTTACCAATCATTTTGTCTTTCATTGCTTGATAGCTGTCCCGCCACTCTTTGATTTTCGCCTTCAAATACGTAAATTATCGTGTGAGGAAATAAAAGAAAACACACGACGCATTAATAAAAATTACGAATTAGAAAAATAGTGGGACATATATACTGAGCAATTTATTTTAGATATAGGTATAGTTACACTTCAGTATAGTTACGCTGTATTTGAAAATCGTAACTATATGCTGTCCCACTACTGTATACTGCAGTACAAGAGTGAGGAGGCCGCAGTCTAACTTACTGAATTAGTGCAGACAGCTGGGTATTTGCTATATATTATTATCTCAGTAGGTTAGTTGAGTGAGTGCTGAAAGACGCCATTGTAAAGGCAACGTGACAGATCTCTCCATAATTTAATAAAAAGTCATTGATCATAAAACTAATAGGGCAACATCACAATACGCCCGTGATCTTAAGCATCTTAAAAAATGTTTCTACTGCTAGGTTCCATTTTTTCAGGTTTCTAGATTTAAAATAAACTTACCTCACAAGCGTCCAAACACTCTCTCAGTGTATGCAAATGACCATGGTCCCTCTCATAGTCAGTCCACAGCCTGGCAATAGACGGAGGATAGTCCTGAACAGACCGTAGCGCTCTACGCATTAATTCGCGTAACTTGTTTTCTGATAGTTTGGGTGAGCGATTACTTTCTAATGCAATTAGTGCCTCCCAATACTTTGACATTGTTTTGTTTTCGCCATATTCTGAAAAAATAAACTTTTCTAAATTTCCAAATATTAAAGCTTATTCACTTTAAGTGAGATTCCTTCATCGATATGTGTGTAACATATTCGCAGAGAGAAATTACATCTACCCTACAGTGGCTACAGTACAATAGCTTGCGAAGGACTTTAGGGCCCTCGTCATCTTTCTGTTTCTGTTTTACATCTATTTGGCCTCGCTTGTACATGTAATTTCATTGTCACTTATTTATTGTACACACAATAAAGAATAAATGAAAAATGAAATGAATCTCTCTAGAGAAGAGGTTGGCAAACTCCAAATGGCAATGATATTGTAAATACCTAAATATAACGACGACGGCATTTCATATCATTACGGGCCGTGTGGTTGTTTCACTTTCGTATTTAAGAAATTTAGATCCTTACATAACCTGACATATCCTCAAGATTACTGAAGACTACTACATCATTTTTAAAATACGAATTGATACTAAATTATAACTTACTGAATAGCTCCTCGAATATCTCTTTGCCTTGTTTGGGCGCGTTCATAAGTTTGTACTCCAAGCGCGCCCAGTACAACGGCACTTCACAATCATTAGCTTCGTCGCCCCACGCCTGAGATAAAAAAAGCAAATCTCTTTACATCTAGTCAATTGAGTAACATGGACACAAACGTTTACGTTTCTTGGTAATAATTGTTTATTAAATGCAAGCACTCTTATGTTAAAAAATAAACTATACACAGACCTTTTCGTTATCTCTTTCAAAAAAAAAACATTCAAACTGCTTTAATGACAACTTAAAAAGTTAGGGCCATAGGCCATTTTAAGTTAGTGTACTCTAAGTCAAGAAAGCGAAATTTCTTGAGCTAGGGAGAACGAATTGTTAATGTGCGAAAAGTCTGACTGAATATGAAATTGAAATTCGAATACCTTTATTTGTGTGCGTTACCCCAGCAAAATAATGTCGATAATGGTCATTTAAACGTTATAGATAATTAGTTGCTCCCCTTCTGTAATTGTTAAGCACATTTTTAAATTTGTTTCACTTAAACTTTTTTAGTTATTTCAAAAAAACATTTCCTGCTGGGGTAACGTTTGAAACGTTACCGCAGCCAGACATTTTCTTTTTTAATTGTAATATTGAAATAAATGTTAGCTAAATAATTAGTTATCTGGACTAGGTAGATGTTACAACTTATTTGGTATTTGTATTTTCTTCGGCTGCGAAGTTATTCGAGATCCTGCTGGAGTAACGTTTGTGGGTTTGCTGGATCTCTGAAACGGGTAAGCGGATTGTAACCATCTTTTGTACATAACTTCTTAAGGATTAGTTTTAATTTGTTCGACAATAAAATAACAAAAATAATGGACCGTTTAAAAATTATTTAGGTAAGTATGAAAACACTTCAATACGTCCTAACACTTTTACTAAGACCTCTAAAGACTTACTTCAAACGTTATTCTATTGCTTGTAACTATCTTCAAATGTATACGAATTTTCGTAAGAGTACTGTAAGTGACTAAAAAGTTATGATGAAATGTAGCTCTCCACGTTCACGATCACAATGTGTGCGGCCTTTTTTGGCCACCGATAAACCTGTGTGTGGATATATAAACTGAATGTTATGCCAATAATTAGTTGTTTAGTTCAGTTGTCTACCTGTAGAATTTCAGCGTCGTACATATAATAATTTACGAGATAATTAAATAAAAGTCATTAGAAGGCGCAAGTCCGTGGTAATCCGACCATGTTTAGGTGGTTACAAAAAAGCGATCACCCAGTACATTGCGCTGTCTTTTAAAATGTTTAGTGTAATACACCTTACGATTTCGGTACAGTTGCGTACAGTGTTAAGTACATTCAATATTTATTCATTATTATTACCTATTATTTATTTTGTTTTATTTTCCTAATTGATCTTAAGCACTAGTTTCTTTACTTAAAATTTCTTTGGTCTTTTTAACTACCGGTGCTACAATCAACAGAAAATCTGCACTGGCCCGCTAAAAGTATAAATATGTAGATACATGTATGAACGATTCACCTGACTGCATTAAACCAATAAGAAATCGTTTCATTTCTTTTTTTTTTGTAAAGATATAACACTAAAGTAATTGTATTTTATTTTGAGGCGTATAGAGCTTAGACTTGAATGCATCAAAATATTTAAAGCAACAAGTCATCTACAATAAGTTAAAATAGACCATAATAGTAGAAGAATATAGTTATAAATTAGAATGCATCAACATTGCATCGCCCAACAGTCGTATACCTCGTAATAACTCGTAATACTTAGGCAGATAATATACGTCTTGTAAAGTGCGTGTGCGCTTCCGCTTTCTATTTTTGCAAATATTTATCGTAGTCTTGAGAGTTCTTCAATATGTGTGTACCTAATTACTAATAATAAGCATTAATGCTAATATAATTCGATTTAAGTAATTGTCAATTCTTGTCTTAGGATATTAATTACTAATGCTTATATTGAAATTTCGTTCAGGGTGAACAAATTAAAAACGATCATAACTTGTAGGTAGGTATATCACTTATTACTAATTTTACATAAATAATTCATTTTATTATAATTTAACTCACCGCGATTTTGTGATCAAATATTTTATTTTCTCCAACATTATTACAGAAATAATGCAATACAGAGTTTGTTCGCGATATGCTAGCCTAAGTCGATTCATCACTTAAAAAAATCCCCATCTATTCACAAAATACCTATTTACAACGCATACGTTACACTCTTCAAAACTTAAATTACCTATACCTACCCTAAAATTAAACTTCAATTAACAAATACTACACAGGGACCAATTCTATGAACAACTATAAACAATTCACCTTAAAATTACGAGAAAACAAAAGCATTCAAAACAATACCTAATCTCCCGGCTGATTACTAATTATGCAATAAACAATCCTAAATAAAAATTATTTAAAAACATGTAGTTTTTTGTAACACTTATGTACATATCCGTAGTTAACTTGCAAATAATATCCTACATATTTTAAAAGCCATTGTGTGTACTGGGTGATCGCTTTTTTGTAACCACCTAAACATGGTCGGGTTACCACGGTCTTGCACCTTCTAATGACTTTTATTTAATTATCTCGTAAATTATTATATGTAGACAACTGAACTAAACAACTAATTATTGGCATAACATTCAGTTTATATATCCACACACAGGTTTATCGGTGGCCAAAAAAGGCCGCACACATTGTGATCGTGAACGTGGAGAGCTACATTTCATCATAACTTTTTAGTCACAAATCAAAATCAAATCAAATTACAGTATTCTTACGAAAATTCGTATACATTTGAAGGTAGTTACAAGCAATAGAATAACGTTTGAAGTAAGTCTTTAGAGGTCTTATTTAAAGTGTTAGGACGTATTGAAGTGTTTTCATACTTACCTAAATAATTTTTAAACGGTCCATTATTTTTGTTATTTTATTGTCGAACAAATTAAAACTCATCCTTAAGAAGTTATGTACAAAAGATGGTTAAAATCCGCTTACCCGTTTCAGAGATCCAGCAAACCCACAAACGTTACTCCAGCAGGATCTCGAATAACTTCGCAGCCGAAGAAAATACAAATACCAAATAAGTTGTAACATTTACCTAGTCCGGATAACTAATTATGTAGCTAAAATTTATTTCAATATTACAATTAAAAAAGAAAATGTCTGGCTGCGGTTACGTTTCAAACGTTACCCCAGCAGGAAATGTTTTTTTGAAATAACTAAAAAAGTTTAAGTGAAACAAATTTAAAAATGTGCCTAACAATTACAGAAGGGGAGTAACTAATTATCTATAACGTTTAAATGACCATTATCGACATTATTTTGCTGGGGTAACGCACACCCTTTATTTCCAAAAAAAAAGGAATGCCATAATTTGATTCTATACTTGTTAACAAAGTTAAAGTAGCTTTGGATAAAATATGTGTAGCATAGCTACATTTATATATATATATATATATATATAACGTGTCCCAAAATTAGCGTCAAAGAATCTTGGAGGCTGCAGAAGATATGAACAGACGAGGATATGCGAGACTGTGTATGTGTTGACGTAGATGGTCACCAATTTGAACATTTAATTTAAGTACGCAATAAATATCTTAATTTCTCATTATGACTTTCATTGAAACAGTCTCAAAACCCTTTTTTTAACAGTAGGTAATGTTTTCAAAAACTAAGCTAAATAATCCTGTTGATAAGAGAATTCTTAGAATTTTTGCAAGTGTTGTCATAGTATTGCACCATTTTAGAATTGTGATGAGTTGCGCTAACTTTTGTAATAACATGCTATAGTACATTTCATACATTTTTTTTACACAGTAGCATGTCAAAGTTAAAATATTTCAAGAAAAAAGATTGTTTATTTTATTTTTATATTAAAAACTACAAATGTTTTGGTCCTATTTGGAACTGCAATTAATAGTTATGTTACTTAGGTAGCTAATACAAAAAAAAATGTGGGGATATGTTTACATTTGTAACCACAGTATCTAATCATAGGGTGTAGGGTATCAAATTACAACATTTTTCAAAAAAATTAATGTAACTTTGAAAAAAAAAGAGCTGGATTTTTGTATTATTTTTCCATGGGTATTTATTGACCCGACCATACACCGGTACCGGCTTATTGTTGAATTTTGGGACACGTTGTATATATATATATATATATTTAATATAATAATGTAAAATAAGAGGAATGCAAAACCGGTTTGTTCAATCATGAACATAATTGCATCACCCAGCACACAGCATCTATGTCACACGTGGTGCGGCGTAAAGTCGATGCACTGTCAACATTTCGGCATGACCGAGATTAAGGCAGCTGCATCAACACAACACACGGATGGCACAAAAGCAAATAGCCATCCGTGTGTACTTAGAGTAAAATAAGTATATAAGATGAACTTTATGTAAATAAATTAGTCATTTTGTCTAATCCGACTTTGACTCATTACCCTGTCCCACCTCTCACTGCGGCCAAGACACCGTTAGCCTTCAGTAGATCGGTCTTGTGAGCCTGCTCGACCGGCAGTGAAAAAATCATCTCCTAAACCCTGCTCCCTTCACGTCTCCGTCTGTTACTCTAGGTCTCCAGGTAACAGACTTCCCGCACTATCTATATATGTATATATATCCCTCAGCGCAGGGTCACATATTGGTAGGGCTAGGGAATTTAGGGATTTAGGTACTTAGGCGTAGGTTACGTACGAGTATTGCTCGGTTCACTACGATGCCCGCTCGATACATAGGCTTTCGGTGTTACACGTACAAGTGCTGATTGGTATACCACGGTTGCCCGTCCGCACCCGTACACGGTTTGTTACGGCGAGCGGCCGAGGGCTTGCGCCCGCGCCGCGCGCCTGTCGTATAAACACTTCGACAACTACTGCATGTCGAGCCCTTACCAATTGCATCCCTCATATCGCTTGTGTCATCTTATGTTTAACGTTGCCTAAAAAACTGGACCTAGTTCTATTAAAATATAATAGTTAACCACTTTAGTTCGTTTCTCCTTCTAATCTACTCTTGTGTCTTATTATAACTTTTTCGTGTGTGGCTTTAATAAATTTCTAATATAATACATATATATCTTATCACAAATAGACTATTTATTGCTTTTAACTACCTCATATGTTTCAGTTTATATCTCTGGATTGACAAATAATTTAATAATAAAAGTAATTTTTTTTTTTTTTCAATGATTTTTTTATGTACAGCCTGTTCTGAAGTAGGGTAGTGAATTGGTAAGTTATAATGGTAGAAACGTTTTGAGATGGGTTTTTATAAAATTCTAAACCTTTCTGTGATAAAATAAGTACACCTTAAATGATAGTAACTTTGTTACCTCAGCCAGTGAGTCCCACGCTAAACGGAAGGTACGCCGTAGCCTCTCAACTTCGGAGTCGTTATCGAAAGCAGTGCAACGCCGGGTATACTCCAGGTAGCTGAGCCACAAAGCTTCCGCTTGTTTGTAAGTCTCCATGCCTTTGGACAGCGCATCCTCGAATATTGTTTTAACCTAAAACAGATAATTTATTGCATGACTAAATATTATAATTTTTACTTAATAAAATTACTTTTTTGGAAACGTGTTTCGTCATTGGAAACAAAATAGAAAAGAATTACTATAAGACCACAATTTTATTTTTAACTGGCTGCCCCGATCGACTTCGTTCTGCCCGAAGTTATATGCCTTACACAGTCTAATAGAAAATATTAATAAATAAAACGTATTTCAGACTGATCACTGTTATTTTTATAAAATCATTTTCTTTATAGCCTAATCAGCTTAAATCAATTAATATTTTGAATAAGAGTATAAAATTAGATCGTTTCAATTAAGTTTTACATATGATCACATGTATAAGTTAAAAGTACCTCGTCGAAGCTCTTCTCCTCGTGCTCGGCATGCTGCATTTTGAGTGTCCAGAAAGTGGCCTTCCTGGGGCAGCGCCGCACGCACACGTCCAGCGTGCGCGAGCGGCGCGAATCGCGCGCGTACGACACCAACAACGCGTACGCGCCGGAACTGTTCAGGCACTCGTACGTCGCGCGATCGTATAGCACCTACCGGACAAGTTACATACACGGTCATTAAACTTCGCGACCGCATCAGAATACATATTAGGTTCTACTTTAGGTGTCATAGATTACATACTATTTTATTATATTTAAATTATAACTAAGTAACCGTTGCAAAAATTTCACTCGAATTTATAGTCAGTGTTCCGTTAATAGGGATCATAGTATGATTTTAAATAGTTTGAACATTTTATTTTTTTTAATCAGAATGGTAGTGGGGACTTCAATTTAAAATAGCCTAATTACCTTAGTATCTATAAAACAAAAAGTGTATGTAGAACAAATTCATTTTATAAACTTCAATGTTAACAGCAACTATTATATAAGAACAATTGCAAGAACGATTAGGTACCTCTGTTAAATCAATTTATTAACTGTAAGTATTGTATATCATATGACTTTGTATATAAAATTGCTGCTACTAGTTACTCAAACTTTCATGACTACAAAGTTGAATTTCTTTAATTGCATTTGAGAAAACGTAACAATTATTCAAAACTGCACTTCACTGGCTATCAAAAATTCATTGTTATAATACTTAAAAGTAAATGGAACAAGGTAGGTATTGTTTTTAAATATCAAGAAGAGAGGAATAGCTACTCCAAAGAGCTCTTTTCAAGCCTTCTTCAAAGAGCTTACTAATACGACGAAATCGGTCTCATTATGTATGAAAATATATAAGGATACTATACATACATTTTTTAATATTATCAGTACAAAACGGGCAAATAGAAACACACAACTTACTCTGAGTATTCCAGCACTGTCACATTCGGAGTACTTCTCCTCCTGAGACAACACTTTGACTGTGTCTATATATTCCTGGTACACCGTACACTTCTCTTCGGGATTTCTACAAAAATTACAACATCCACTTGTCATCTTAAGTCACTAATGCTGCTATATACAAAAAATTATACAAGTATACATTGAATTAGCCACAAATAAATTTAAATAAATAATAATTATTATAGTTTAATAAATAATAAACAGTATATGTATAACTTACAGACTAATCACGAAATTGCGAAAACTACTTGACCTATAAAAATGAAATTATTCAGGGAGGTAGTAATAGATATTGAAGAGTTTCTTAGAGGTCTCTGTAAATGTGTTGAAAATGTGCGTGATTTTTACAATATATTACTTACTCTATTGTCAGTAATTTGTCCTCAAATGGTGTTATTTTTTGCAAATAGTCCATTGCAGCATAATGTTTAACTTTTATCTGAAACAAACATTCTTTAATTATATTTATTATTTTAATTGCACTTAATCAAGTATCATTCTAAAATATCTAAATTGAACTATAAAGTAGTTTTTTTAGTATTCAACCAACTTCAAGTTAAATAATTAACAAAAACAGATTATGTAACATTCCTAATAGAAAGTAAAACACTCCAACCAGTCATGATTAATTATATATAAATTTTTTTGCTCAGCTTCCACTAACATTGGTTTCAAACAAACCAAATTTTTAGTACTTTATGTACTTTGTAAATCCAAATAAATTATTCCTCAGACAGTAACAACTGGTTAAATACTTACATTATCAAGGTATTGGTCCCCATCACTGTCAAGAAAAGTCAGCGCAAATTCTTCTAATTGAACAAGCGCCTCGTCTCCTCTTAATAAAGGCCTAGAGAGCATCTCCACAAAACACCACAGAACTCGCTTCTTCTGAGCACTATAATCGGCATTCTTTTCTCTGTTAACAAAGAATAAATATAAGTATATCATCCCATGGGTGTCTTAAGAGCTGACTAAGGGAGCAAACTAAGCAGGACAACAGCACTATAAAGAGAAAGAAAAGTTGACGGAAACCCTCTACCAACCCATCTGGCCAGAGTGGTAGGTGGTGGTGGCCAGGTGGTGGTGGCCAGATGGTGGTGGCCAGGTGGTGGTCGCCCTCCTTTCAAAGGAGAGGACTTTATCCATTAGTGGACTAATAAAGGCTGTTGATATAGAATTACTTGTGTTATGGGAAATATATTTTGATAATTTATAATGCTGAAATCACAGTATATTTTTAGGAATCAGTATTCAATTTTAATTCCTAGCTATATCCTGTTTGTCTAACTGTACCTCCTAAAACTCTTAAAGCATGTATGACAATAATCCACACTGAGGTCAAAATTGACTTACACATAACAGAACAAGCAAAAAGATAATTTTTACCTCTCAGTCTCTCCAATAGTCTCCCTCATAGATTCCAATTCAGTCTTTTCAAGTTCGAGCTTGGCGTTCCAAAATATCTTGCCTGAAAGAGGATCAGGACCAGCTCGATGTAAAACTTCTTCAAAGTTCTTCCGGGCAAACTTCGCATCACTTGCGCCTATTAACCAGGAGCACCACTCGCTCAAAATGGGTATGGCTGTAAATTAGTTTAATTGATGTAGTGAAAGTTGAGGAAATTCAATGTGAATAAACAACTTGAAAAGCTGAGCTAGCAAAAATGAATCGGGTGAAAAATACTTTACAACCTATTATCATACCTAACAAATATAAAAAAAAAAACATTGAAATCAGTTGAGCCGCTATATTATTGAAAAAAAATATGTGCACAAATGAATAAAATGATGGATGGTGTTGTTCAGGATCACATTGTACTTGATTTAGAGTTTCATGACAGAGCTTAACTACGTCCACTACTAATATACTGCAATATTCTGCAGCATTCTGTTAACAAGTAGTTTTGCCAGGGTTCCATTGAAGGGAGAGATAGGTTTTTCAAAACAAGTGCAGCACTTGTTGTGTTTCTTGGTAGACATCAGTAAAATAAATCATACTGCATGCCAGTAAGCAGACTACTTGGTTTAAAACTCCTGCAACTTGTACTGACATATTTGATGTATAAAGGCAGGGCTAAATAGCAATATTGTAACCACAGGTAGACTTCAACCTTCTAAATGTTAATGTGTTATCGTGATTTAGTTCCTACATGAAGTTGTATTGTACAAATATTTTTATTTTTTTCTGAATTATTGCATGTGTACAAGTGTTGCAAGGACTATAAATAACTTACAGTAGCAGTCCAGTGTCGCCTGTTTGAATAGTTCAACCATCTGTTCACGTGATGCATCAGTATGAGCCAATGTTTCCTCTGCCTGTAGGCGCATCAGCCAGTGCTCTGCCCGCAGTGCTGAAATCTGCTTCAGACGATCGAAAGCAGCGCGCCAACGTTCCAATTCCGATAAGCCCCTGAGTAAAATAAAGTGTCTGTTATAATTTGTATAAACGTGCACTATGAAACAGAAAAATTAACATTGACAGCTGTCAGCTAACTTTATACATAAAATAGCCTCTTTTATGACTGACTTGTTGATAGTAATTAATCAGCAGTCATTTGACAGGCTTGTTGGTCTAGAGTGGTTGATGAACCTTACTGCTGAGCCAGAGCTCATTTCTGTGAGAATTGACCTTTCTTCCCATAGCACAGGCTCTGCCTAGTTTGAGATCAGATTGTTATTTGTGAGATATTTCAAGTTGTTATTATATATATATATACATATATATATACAAAAAGAGTGTGCTTTAGAGCACATGACTGAAGTAAAACTTCTTGGCTATGAGAGAAAGAAAATGTGTGCTCACACCGGTCTCTCTTGCCCCTACAGTAATATACAAAACTTAACTCTCTCTCTTTCTATCTTCACTAATTTATTTCTCCCTCTGAACGTCCGTTCACCTTGCCCAATCACACTTTTCGTAACACTCTCGTCATGTATTCACTAGCTTTCTCCCCAAGTCAACCTTGCGTAAAGAAGTTTTACTTCAAAACTATTATGAAAATTTATCTTATTTTCATGAAAGCATAGTAGTAAGAAATGAACATACCATAATGCTTGAATCAATTCAATATGCTGGTCGTAGTTGTAGGGATCTTCAGTAACCCTCTGCTCCAACTCGGCCACTTTCTTCTCTAGTACCTCGAGATCATCATCATCGTCATCATCCTATTGAATATTATGAACTATAAATTTGTATACTTACTTAACAATGACACATTTTATTAATTTCATATAGCATAAAAGCAAATGTATTGTTGCTTAAGTCATCAACTACATTATCAATAACTTTTTTCAGATGAAGCCTATTTGAAGGGATGTTTACATTTTGAATTTTTTTATGATTATCTTGCCCTATCAGCTCTTTTACTCTTATCTTGGCCATGCCATGAACATTTTTATACCAGTTTGAAGCCCCCAAATATTTGTAGTACTATTCTCATATATAAGTTTGGAGCTTTTTGAATACACACTGATTAGTTTAAGACCAATTCTTTTTCTCTGTAAGGAATATCATAATTAAAGACAAAGTATGCCAATAGTTTGCTAAACCTATTATTTGTCAAAAAAATTCTAATCAGAAATAAAAAATAGTAGCAGTACATATTTTAACCATTTTTTTTTTACATTAAAAAAATACAATCTAAAGCTGGATTAAGACGTTTTGGTTGGTGACTACTAGTCCAGCAAATGTTGGTATTTGTATCCATGTTATTATAAAATTGATAATCTATTAACAACTTTATTTAGTGCAATAGTATAGTTATACCACTTTTAATCATATAAACAAGTATATACCTCAGTGTTTGTATTAAATGTTTCATCATCATCACCATCAACAGCCTTTAACAGTCCATTGTTGGACATAGGCCTCTCCTTAGAAAGGAGGTAAATGGTTATCAAAACAAACACCTACTTAAATCATTATAACTCCCAAATTACATATTGTCCCCATAGAGAATTGAATTTTGATAGATTTCAGATAGTCAGTCCATGAAACATGATTATTTAATAGACTAACTGACAAGTTGCAGTACACAGTTCAAACTACAAATAATTTACTCGCGGTCTCAATCACCTTGAAATTATTACAAAAATACAAATTCATTGATTTTGTTTTCAACAAATACAAAACAGAGATAAATAATACCTTCGTTGATTATTATTACGAATTAAAATAGAAGTTTGAGAACCTCGAATAAACTGTATTGTTTTCGATGACAATAATCAACCATTGGCAAAATATTAAAAATAATAAAATATATTTCGAAACACAAATATGTAAGCAATGTGACCAATTGTATGTTGTGCAGACATACATCAGAATCATCGGAATCCTGTTCAGGGTCGTCCTCTTCCACTACAACTTCTATTTCATTTTCCTCTTCGGAATCATTTATAACTTCGTCTTCTACAACAGCCATTATTTAATGCAAAACAGTAAACACTTTAACGTTTTAAGTACGCCTGCTGTTTGATAACAAATTCCGCTAACGATTATGGCGGAGCGGACGAGCAAACGAAAGTATTTGTCAGATTTAGTGTTGTGCTTAAGTTAGGAAGAAATAAAATCTACTAATTTCTATTACTATTCGTTTTTTCAGATATTTTCCTAAAATGTGTGTGTTTTAAAATAAATAACCATAAAGAATTAAAAGGGATTTATCACATCAGAAAATAAATTGAATAAAACTAATATATAATATGAACCAAAAAATCATTCTATCTAAGTGGAGTGTGACATGTAAGTCGATAACGTAAGGAAGTATTTCTATCTTACAAAGTAAAGAGTTAAGACACACCATGATCCTAATGCTCTGTTCTTGTTTTCACTTGAATCATGTATTATCTATGACTTGAATTAACACACGTGTTTATACCATTCTTGCAAATTACCTAGTTCAGGGAGGGTTGCCCATGCAAAAACCGCTTGAGCAAAGTACTATGTTAAAAAGTGCTTTATGTTCAAATTTATTTAGTAATCCTGATCTCAGATCTGCAATATAAGTAGATGGTAGATAAGTAAAAGTATGAATGGTGAAAGGTTGGGTAACCATGTACCAACTTAAAAACACATTTTTATTGTTGCATTTGCTATTCCTTCGTCTACAAAAAACTATACCTAACTGTTAAATGTTTTGCTTACCGATTATACCGACATTAAGCTGCTTACAGTTTTTATGATTATTTGCAGTTTTTGATATACCACTTTTTGTGGGGGCAAACGAGCACACGGATCACCTGAGGGTGAGTGACTGCCACCACTTAAAAGTTCCAGGTGTGTTGCCACCCTTTAAGCTTACCACCACTAACTCACCAGAATCTGGAGGAGGGGCGAGAGGGTGTAAGCCGAGAAGGAAAAAAACCGTGTAAAACCGTAATAAACCATTTTTTTTCGATTTAATACGGTTGGTGTTGATGACTACTTATGTTTTTCTTAATTATAACTACATATTCTTGATTTTACCGAGGTAGAGATAGAAATACACTGTAGAGATAGAAATAACTATTAACTTTGTAAAGATTTTTTATATGTGTGATATAGGTACTAATATTGATATACTTAGCGGGTTTAGTTCTAGTTGGTATGTCGTTGTCGCTTTCATGCCCAAGTACAACGGACGGCATTGTGTTATCTTCTAATCTAGTAAAAATAATAAGTACTAGGTGTGGAGGAACGGGTGTCATGTCCCTCCAACACAAAGGGAGGATCCTCCGACCAGGCGAGGTGATCATGCCTGGCGGGCCGCGGCCCAACGGTTGATGTTGGGAAGTTGTATATATGCTAATCGGCGAGTGAATTCATTATATCGCGATACAGGATTAGCAATTCTTATTTTTAGTAGTTACTCCGTAGTTCGGTGTGTCTTCATTAGATGGCGCTGTAGTATGTTTATGTGGGAGTCGCCACATCACTCCCCTCCAAGACCGGAGGTCGATATATGATGAGTCAGCTGTCTATGCCCTGTTATGGAGCGTGCCAGTGCCAGTAGTGAGTAGTTCCAGTGAGTCGGAACTGAGTGCCGCTAGTTCCAGTGGGTCGGAACTGAGTGCCGCTAGCCCCAGTGAGTCGGGGCTTAAGTCCGCTGATCCCAGTGAGTCGGGATGGCGTGCGGTGGGCGGTGCTGTGGTGAAGTCCCCAGTGAATCGGGGCGGTTGCTGCGTAGTGGCTGGCTGCTGCGTAGACGGGAGAGAAAATGCTCTTCTTACGTGGACCGTAGGTGCAGTGTGCTGTGCCTAGACGCTGATGAGGCCGTAGAGGTAACCAGGCTGGAGCGGTCGCTACCTGCGTGTGGTATCCCTGTAGAGGCCGAGGTTGCTGGCTGGCTGAGACTTGATTACTGCTCATCGCTGTGGGAGTGTACCCGGTGGTGCTGCTGATGATCTGCTCCTTTTGAAGGCTGCTTCCAATCACGTCGGGGTCACCACTGTGGAGGAACGGGTGTCATGTCCCTCCAACACAAAGGGAGGATCCTCCGACCAGGCGAGGTGATCATGCCTGGCGGGCCGCGGCCCAACGGTTGATGTTGGGAAAATGTATATATGCTAATCGGCGAGTGAATTCTTTATATCGCGATACAGGATTAGCAATTCTTATTTTTAGTAGTTACTCCGTAGTTCGGTGTGTCTTCATTAGATGGCGCTGTAGTATGTTTATGTGGGAGTCGCCACACTAGGTATGCCTACATACTTAAGTCTTCGTGTAGTAGGTAGGTAGGTACTTTCTATTGATTTTCTAAACCAAATAAAACAAAATATGACGTCAGGTAACCAAAAATTGCCAACAATTAAATTTACACAGTTCTATTCTTTTTGTTAGCCAGTTTTCAACGGTTTAAAACGAGTTATTTCGGGTTTAAAACGGCAACATTTTATTTAAAACGTTTTAAATCGGTTGTTTTATATCTATATTTGGGGGCAAACAGACAGGTCGAATGATGGTAAGGGGCTACCCCGACCCATGAACACCTACAACTTAAGAATCACCAGTGCATTGCTGCCCTTTCAGTCCCTCTCCCCAGAATCAGGGGAAAGGGGAGGATTTGGGCTCCGATAACCAACGAAAGAACTGCTTAACAAAGGTTTTCTTTGAGGCCGTGGTGTCACTCTGGTCGAGCCTGGCCTATATGTGCCGAAACATGGCACTCCAACGACTAACTCATCTTATAGCTGTTTTTTACGCATAAATAATGTTGAATTTGTTTTGTTTTTACTTGTAACTTACATTGTTTTAGCTTCGTTTTGTTAATTTTTATTTAAATATTAGTTTACCATAAAAGAGATTGTTCGTTTCATATATTACTTAGGCCGTATTACAGAACGTTTCTCAAAACTCAAGTAATTTTATAAGGCGAAAACTAACCTCATGCGTTTCTAGACTTTTGAGTATCATTTTGGAATACGATCCTTAGAATTATTTGTTTGTAGGTATTTAATTGCTCTTTTCATGAAATTTAACGCCGTGCAATTTTTTCTTTGGGGTTTTTGTGTAATCTCGAGTTTATGCGAATAAACCAGAAACAACTTGAAACAATTCTTGAGCTCAAATCAGTGTAAAAGTCATGGAAAAATTCATGAAGAGTGATGGCCTGTCATCAGAGCCGTGGGGTCCATTTGCCGGTTATTTTATTCCATACTTAATCAGAACATGTCTTCTTTACAATCCAATAAATAAAATATCACAACTCTTTCATAAAATAAGTGTTTTTATTTTAAAATGAAAAAGTGCACTTTTACTGAGACACCCTTTAGGTACCTCACGCGATAGGCGGGACAACTGTGCGAGTTAGCTGACTAGGTCATTTAAACGGACTATACGCGTTTCCTCGTTGTTACAGTTAAGCAACTGTTTTTTTTTTATTTATTTAAGAAAGACTACGCCCGCTCTAAGTACATATCATGTGTCGCGGGGACTTTACTAACATTCATGAAACGGACACAAAGAACACCCAGACTCAGAACAACAATTTATGGATCACACAAAGTGTTGTCCAACATGAGGATCAAATCCACTACACCCAGCACTGTAGGAAGTGGAAAGGTAAACACTTAAACCACTGCGACATCCGTGCAGTCGAATCGAATTTGTTACACATAGTATAAGTTTTTTGGACAGTTAAAATGGTACCTGTGGCCTGTCATCTGAGCCGTGGGCGCCATTTGCCGGATATTTTATTCCAGTCTTAATCAGAACATGTCTTCTTTACAATCCAATTAAATATCACAACTCTTTTATAAAATAGGTGTTTTTATTTTAAAATGAAAGAGTGCACTCTTACTGAGACACTTTAGTTAATTTAGAGGCTGAATTTTTTGTATTTAGTACCTAGCTACGTTATTTTTTTATCTACCTACCTGCCATGTGTCTACCTTATTACAGTGGTATTAGGTGGTATCTAGGTAAAGAGCTAAAAATACACTAGATTTCAGTATAAAGTCGAAATTTTAAAATGAGTTTGAGTTTCGGTTTCGTTTGAATCGGTAGGTAATCTACTAGTCTTTAGTAATACTTTAATACGAAAAATCCTTTCATGTCATTTGTGAGATCGAGAGTGAATCATACTAGCCCCGCAAGTTGATATTGGGACGGAACCTTGTCACAATAAGCGCTGCGTGACTTCATCCATCGTATAAAGTACAGTTAACAAAAAAATTGTAATTAAAAGTAAATAGACTAGAGTTATAGGTTTATTACATCTTATTATAATAATTTTATAAATACATAATTACATACAATGCAAAGTGTAAACTTAAAGAATTTCAAAGGACTGAGATTTTTTTATTAGGATGAATAAATATGTTTACTATAAAAAAAATCTCACGAGTCCGGGATCCGCTTTTCTTTTCATCGATATTTTCCGTGAAGCGATTATCATATGACCTCCCCAACCATTACGGTACGGTATCCAAGTATTTCGGTTAGACTAGTTCAACTTTTTAAGGCTCCAACTACTCGTAACAACTGCTATAGATGGCATTTCCGTGCTATTCGCTGTAGATTTATTCACGAATATAAATATTTGATTGAGCGGGAATCGAACCCGCGCCTCCTGTAGTACATCCGAATATGACGCCCCTGGTGTTGCACACGTCCATAGGCCTCGGTAAGCACTTTCTATCAGGTGGGTTTCTATCAAGCACATAGCTTGTCTTGCTTGAACAACTAATAAAACAAAGGTATTTATGTAAAATCAATGTTTATATTAATATGATATCTAAGATAATAATATGAGCTAGCCTAAGATTATTCGGCTAATTCTTCAATTCCACTCATATCTGAATCAGAATCAGTTTCAGAGTCAGTGTTGTCAGATTCACTATCTGCCGTATTTATAATAAATAACTCGTCAGTTATTCGGTCTTTTCGCCAGTACTCTTCTTCGATTCTCTTGACATGGTTTATTTCTATCTTCCAGTCATCTGGAGTTATGGACGACAGCGCCTCCAAAGTCAGGGATTCTATCTTACTCTCCAATTGTTCAACATTTTTTTCCGAAACTTTTTGTTTGACTAAGTTCCAAATATATGATTGGGTTGTTATACGAGGTCGTTGTTATACGGTGGCAATCTTACTACTTCATGACTATTGTCAGCTAATAGTTGGTCGATTATATAATTTTTCGGTGGTTTGTGCTGTTTTATTAACATGTATAACTCTGGTTTTGTGCAATTATTTGAAAAGTCAATGTTATGAGCTTGCAGCCACTCAACCATCACTTGTTTTCTACAATTCATAGCTGGTGGTTTATTTTCTTCTTTGCTGTGGTACGGGCCGTTGTCCTTCACAATGATGGAATTAGATGGATGTTGGGTATAAGTTTTTCAGTGAGCCACTTGGTGAAATTCTCGGCATTCATCTGATCATGATAGTCCCCGGTTTTTGTATTAGGCTTCAACATCAAGAGTGCATTGTTAACCGTATATTGTGCGTGTATCCATGTTTCATCTAAATAGATGTCAGGCCTTTTGTTTACACCTAGTGACTCGTTTTCCTTCATGCGGCGTAAATATCTAGCCCTCCACGCTTGTATTTGGGGTCTCTCTATTAGCAGCAGCCTTTTTTGGTAACATCTCTTAAATTGATACCCTAAATATGTTTTTATTATTTTTCTTAAGGTAGTTTCACTGCCTGTATAATTAAGATCCATATAGAGTGTATGATATTTCTAAGAGCCGTTAACGAAAATCTGTCAAAGCAATCTTTTCTTTGTCGTTTTACTTTGGTCGGGGTCTTCATTTTGCTGCCACTAGTTGTAGCAGACTCGTGCTCTCGTCTTAATTTCGTTACTGTATTTTTTGTTATGCCCGTAGCACATACCACACGTTCCGTAACTTTAGTAGAATTTTGTAAAATATTCAAAATGTCAATAACAAGTTGTTTCGACATTACCATGTCCTCAGTAGTGTCCGAAGCATTTTGTAGGGCACGGTTTACATTTTGAAGCACTTACTTAGCGTCCTCTTTCTCTTTGGCAAAATAATTGTCTACTTTAATAATCATTTCCCGCGCACGGCTGTTAATTACTTTTTTACTCTTTTTAATAGAGTAGCTAGAAAACAATACGTAACAAAACAACTTAACAAAGAAACTTAACAACAAAACTCAACAACAAAGATCAATAACAAAAATATAACAGGAAAGAAAACAAAAAGCTTTCAAAACACGGTAAGTAGTACTCGATGCGTAGCGCGAGCGCGGGCTGACCTTGCGTTGCGAAGCTGCGAACGGTACTGACGGCTCGACTTCGCATACGTCACGAAGATGGCCGCCAATCCCAATATCAACGTGCGGGGCTTATAACTGAATTACGATCGAATTTTTATTACGGGAATTGGCCTTCTGTATAGTTGAAAGCTGTTTTTCTGCTGATGCGATTGTTAACAAAATTGTGTTTTATCAAAATGTTATCAAATTGTTATGCCATATTGAATAATCTTAAATTAAAGAAAATAAATAAAAACAGTGATATCGGTATGATCCTTTATATTTATTATAAAAATATGATTACATAGAAGTTTCTTTTACATACAATTACATGAGTACTTAGGTGCTAATCTGCGATCAAATCATTCAACTACATTGTCTATTTTATGAAATTCCTGCATTTCGAAACTTTGGCACCGTTTCAAATTTACAACTTATAAATTTTATATTCAATTGTTCAATAATTTTACAATAATATACTTCACAATATTGTTATAGTACAAAATAAATGCACCAATATGGGAATGAATCCTAAATATTTAAGATACTAATTATTACTTTAGTACCTATTAAAGTTCAAATTTGATAATTCAACTAATCAAATTATCCAATAACATTTCAGCCTTCTATTCAATACAATCATTCCGTTAAAATCTTAAAATAATAATTAATATATTTTGATGGGTGTTTTCTAATACAATACTAACAATAGAGGGTAAATTAACATTATATAAAAAATGGAATACTCAATTTTATAACGTCAGTCAGTATTAAAGTAAAAACTACTTTTGTCATGAGCGGAAATAATAAAGAAAGAAATCATAATACTACTAATCTTACTAAAGGCCTTCCTGAAACCTGACAAGGCCAATTCTAAACGAGGCGAACAATTCTAATCGACTAATTAGTCGCTTCCCCCTGACGTCAGATAGCGTCAACACGGGTGTAATTTTTTCCTTTTTTTTTTGCTATTGAGATGTAAAATCATTTCCATATTTGATTTTGATAGCTATTAACGTTTGGTACATTAAAAAAAAAACTCGTAAAAGAAGTAGGTATTATTTGTTTTTTTTTTTGTTTTTGGTAGGTTTTTTTTTTATTTTAACTTTAAATACCTATACATGGCATTATTATGACAGCTGGTTTGATTTGGATGTAGACTATAAAATGAAAATCTAGCTAATTTCATATCTAAGAAAGAAATGGCACAGAGTAAATATAAATGCTTTTCAGATCAATAACGATGCTACTCTTCGGCAATCTAGTTTTATATATCTCAGAAGGAACAAGCTTATACTAGTCTTTTAAAAGTTTAAATGGCCGTAATTTTTAAATAACAATGGACAAATCTTATGTGTGAGCTAATCATTAATTTCTACTGTTTATATAAAGTATTTTCTGGAATAAACAATTTTTAATTTATTTAGACTGCACCCTGGGATTATAAGCATAGCGTGGCAGATCCTGACGTGCAATGGTAAAGTTGCAACATTGTTTATAATTTGACCTTCGATCTTGCATCTCAATACATTGACATTATAAATCCCGGACGCGGCCTCATAACTGTCATGATATTTATTATTTCAAGTCAAAAGCCAGAAATACTGAGATTCAGATATAAAAGATCCTATACTTAAATCGACGGGTACCAGATCCTCAGGAACTGTCAACTTTGCTAAATTATTGCCTGTCGAAATATTCAAGAATATAAAAAGCAGCAGACTACGGATATCGAATATATTCGATTTTAATTCGACACGAAGACTGATGTAAATATTGCATGTCAATTAATTTTAATACTTATCACTATAGAGAGATAAAATATTATATTGTCTATAGATATGGTATATCTATAACACTATATCCTATAATATAAAAGGCAAAATAATATTTGAGTAAGAAAATAATACTTCTGCTGTAATGTTCATATAAATACATAGCTTCAAATGAGATACTTGAGAACCACTTTACAAAGAAGAATTATTCGAGATGACATAAATGACTAAATATGGTCAAATGTGTTGCCACATTAAATAAATTTATGACTTATATATATTTTAGGAGACAGAGTTCTAACACTATTTAGTTTTAAAATGTTGTTTTCATGTAGAGTTAGATCATTTTTAGATATGTATGAGTATGAATATTACAAAGCGTACGACAGTAAACTTCTAATTGGAAGTGACGCAATAAGGGATGACACGTAGAATAGAATTGACGACATCGCATGAGCCTGGAAGCTGGACAGTCGTACTAATGTCCAACTGTGCCACATGAAAAAAAGAAAAAAGTTAAAATTTGACACTCACTCATAGATGTATAAAAAAACCTAGACGATAGTACGTGTCGTGGCTATTAACAGCCATTAACAACCACCTCCAGGAAGGTGCGTGTGTGTTTGTTAGTATGTGTCTGTGTGTGAGATACACAATCAACTATGAGGTTAATCAGTAATCAGGTTTTGCTAGGGTGATTCAGGGAGATAATTAAAGAATAAGGCGTGTGTATATATACCTGGGCGTTGCGCGTACACTATGCAGTAGAAGTAGTGCTGGTGGTTGTGGCGGCCTGCAGTTGCATCTGGCGCTGCATCTGTTCCAGCATCTCTTGCATGCGACGAAGTTCTGCTTCCTAGAATGTAAGTATAAAACTTTATAGGTTTCTTGCTTTGATATATAGTATTTTTATTTGCCATTCCTAGTTGAGTTTCTAAGCGTACCAGTTTACCAGTCATATGTTATAAAAGAAACATTGAGAACTTATGAAGGAATTAAACGAAGAGTGCTCTATAGCACTCTGGCCTAATAGAGCACTCTTCTTTTAATAGTAAAAGAAATACATTATAAGATCGTTTACAACTTGAAAGTGCACAACTAAGTATTTATATATCATATTTACCTTCTCACGGAGTACACGTTCGCGATTGGAAGTATCCTCAGATCCATTTGACAGCCCATTAGATTCAGCCTCACTTAATCCACTCTCCGTTGACCTGAATTAAAAGACACAATATAATATGTACTCCTCCAGTACACCACGGTCAACAGCAGTGATCTACAAACACACCGAGTTATGACACCCGGGAAATCACCGAGAAAATTTAACTGTCTTGGAAGCTGCAACGAAATTAATCAGAAGAAAATTGGAGGAGTTGAACTTCATAAATTATTACTTATATTATTTTTATTTCGTAGTATATTATGTATAAAATTATGCACAAAATGGCACTATAAATATATTATACCTTCCTAAAATTATTAAAAACATTGAGAAGTCCGCAATACTAGGGAGAGTACTTTGCTATGTGTTTAAGGAAATAAAGTAAAAATAGAATTTCCCATTACATTCATACAATAACTAAACTACATTTTCCTGTTTTCCGTTGTACAAGAACAAGAAATAGACCTAGAAGCTGCTTATTATTTGGAAATGAGTCTTTGTTGTATTTTACTGGTGTTTTGTTAAATTGTTATGTAACAATATCTTGTTATTAAAACAATAAGAAACGCGAAAAGAAAGTACTACTTGGATAGTTTCAAAACGTGCGAGAAACACACGAAAAAAATGTGGAATTTAATTAATACGCTAGCAAATAACAAACACATAAAAAAATTTGTTCCAGTTAAATTAACAACAGAAAATAATGTAATAACAAATGGTAAGCAAATCTGTCAATATTTTAATGATTACTTTTCCACAGTTGGTTCTAAGTTAGCCAATAATATACTACAAACACAAACAAACCTATACACTCCAAACAAGTTAAATATAAATGTGACACAGTCACAAAAAAATACAGCTACATTAAATACACTACATGCTTGCACAAAAAAAAGAAATCAGTAAAATAATCGATAACTTAGATATAAATACAAGTAGTGGTATTGATGGGATTACGGTTAAAGATTTAAAATGCATTAAAAACTTAATAATAGATAACTGAATGTATAAGTAAGTGCCTCGAACTGGGAATATTCCCTGATAGTCTTAAGATTGCCAAAGTGACTCCTGTTTACAAGTCTGGAAGCAAATCTGATCCAGGTAATTATCGACCAATTTCCGTGCTCCCGGTCATCTCCAAAGTCTTTGAAAGAATAATTTACATCCGTCTTTACAACTACCTTACAGACACAAATTTCTTTTTTGTGAACCAGTATGGATTTAGGCCAAAATCAAGTACTTTATCCGCTACTATGGATCTAACAACAAAAATTAAAAATGCTATAGATAAAAAACAATATGTCCTAGGTGTCTTTATAGACCTAAAAAAAGCATTTGATACAATTAGCTACAATATGCTTTTAAACAAGTTAAGAGATGCAGGAATATCAGGAACAGCACATAAAATTCTTAGGTCGTACTTAGAAAGCCGGAAACAAGTAGTCAAAATTGAAAACCATGTAAGTTTGCCTGCTAAACTAACATACGGAATTCCTCAAGGATCGATTCTCGGCCCCCTGTTGTTTTTAATTTATATTAATAATATAAACAATGTTAAAACATCAGGCACCATTACACTTTACGCAGATGACACCTGTCTCTTTTATTTTGGACCCAACCTGATAGATATCGTGAAAGAGGCACAATATGATTTAAATATTTTAAACAACTGGTTTCTATCTAACTTATTAACTATTAATACGAAAAAAACATCATACATGATCATTGCTGCAAAAAATAAGAAGATTGACCATCAAATCCAACTAACAATGAATAAAGAAAATATTACAAAATCAAGTGGTGCAAGATATTTAGGCCTCTTTTTGGACACAAAATTAACATGGAAACACCATATTGCATATATTAAATCCAAAATATCTCCTGTTATTGGTGCACTACGTCGGATGTCATTTTGCGTCCCTAGTAAGGCTCGAGTAATGATCTATAACGCTCTAGTTAGACCTCATATAGAATACCTGATTGAGATATGGGGCACTGCTTCGAAATCGAATATCCAAGAAATTCAAGTCTTGCAAAATAAAGCAATAAAAACACTTTATAGCTACAACTACCTAACACCAACACTTAACATCTACAAGGATACCAAAATCCTAACAATTAGACAACTATACATTCTTAAAACTTGTATACTAATACATAAAATCATAACACAAGGTACACATTCACAATTAAGCTTCAAAGAAAAAACCTATACATACAACGCTAGGAAACGAAAAAAACTAGAAGTGACAAAGCCTAGAACCAACTATGGTAAGAAAAATATATTATATGAAGGTATAAAACTTTATAATGAAATACCTGATGGTATTACTAAAAGTGATAGCTTGTATAAATTAAAAAAAAAATTAGGAGATTACATTAGGATAAAGTACTGACTCTAATGAAGTTGTCTGTATATCTTTAGGTTTATCTTTAGTTTTATTCTACTGTAATATGTGTTTTATACTACTGTGTATTGAGATCACAGAGATACTTAACTAATTTATTGTGTTGTTACATTTTCTCATTATGTAAGTGAACTGTATTGTTCTTTTTTATGAGAAATAAATGTCTCTAAACCGAACAATATCTTCAAATTATTTATGTAATTAACTAATACAAAAGCAAAATATAAATGTTATTTAAGCATTATGTTACTAAAAAGTTGGAATTGTATGTTGTGTTGTAATTGTAGTTGTAATGTTATAATATTGTTTAAAAGACTTGTTAAAACTGTACTGTTTTTGTTAAGCGCATTGTGAGCCTGACACAATCTATTAAGAGCAGTATAACTGAGAATCGTGAAAATTTGGAATACTTTAACATAATAATATGTAGAAAAACAGTGCCGAAAGAGGGCTAGGAAGCTACAAGTCCAGAGTCCAGTATATTGTAGAATTGGCTAACAGTGGTTTGTTCGTTAATACAATAATTGTTAAATTATACTGGTAATTCTGGTTTAAATTCGTGCATCAGGCAATCTGTGTGAATAGATTTTTTGGTGAAGTGAACCAGCGGCTCTAGCTAGTATAACTTACGTGTGTCGTTTTGGCACTTGTCCGCTGCGCGCTAGTCGTTCGGAGCGATAATTCTCGTAGTGAACCTCTTGGGTCACCTCTTGAAGATCCTGCATGTGAGTTCTGGAAGAATAATGTTTGGAATCAAGAGCTATACATTGATTAATACTTGAAACCCAATCTAAGACTCAAAGCTAATTTTTTGGCATATAAGATGCGAGATTTTATTATTATAATTATGTTTTGTGTTAAAAAGACAAGCAGGGTCTCAATTCTGCTATTTTATGTTCACGCCAAGCCACTGTCATACCACTGACACGCTATTGAGATGCCATCGAGGGGCCATTGGCATCGGTATAAATATCGGTAGTCTAAACTAACTCAGTGTCTTTACAGTGGCGATAGAAAGGCAGTGGCTCATCAGTGGTGATATCAAAGAGATTGCCATATTTGGAAAAGTAAATAAATCATTTCCTTATAATTTGAAAATATTGTAACGTTGCATTTCTGCACCATTACAGAAAAGTTAATTATCGACGTGTTGTTGATTTGACAACTGGATTTTCTGACGTTTCAGTAAGCTCCGAGAGTTGGCGTCACAGTCGAGATTTTTTAGTCTATTTTAATCGACTTTTGTATTGATTCGATTGCAGTTTTTTTTTGCACTTCTTGCTTTGGCCACACTATTTTGTCGCATTTGCATCTTCCTGGACGATTGCTCTGGCAACATTTATAGTCGCCTTTTCATTTTCCTGGGCGAAGTAAACAGGGTAGACATGTTGTGATTTTTGAAAAGATGGAAATGTAATCCGTTTCCATCTGTTATAATCAGAGGGTTAAATCACCTTTTATTGTTGGCCAGTCTTGTTAAGGAAACGAGTTTTTCATTGGAAATGTTATTTTGCCTGTTTTGGAATTATTAGTAATGCCTCCGATTTATTTGTGAGACGTTTTGGAACCCTGTGCCGTAACAGGGTTTTTTTTTTATATTTATGGTTTTTCTTCTTAAAGGGTCCGCCAAATAACATTTTTTTTTTGAAAATGCTATAAAAAAACTACTGAATATTTTCTCAAATTTATTTTTTTATTTGAAAGTACAATCCTTCCGGTTAATAATGGAAAATAATTTCATTCAAATGGCTGCCTCGGCTGGCCATGCAGTAGCCTACACGATCGGTCCAATTTTTAAGCACATTATCGATTGTGTGCAGCTGTATTTCACCAATGGCTTCACGAATATTGTCCTGTCTCTGGCTTGTCGGCGTAACACTTATCTTTGAGGGCACCCCACAAATAATAGTCCAGCGGTGTCAAATCGCAGCTCCGAGGTGGCCAAACGACATCAGCTCTGCGGCTGATAATGCGATCTTCAAAAACAGGGCGCAAAACATCGAGTGTAGCTTCGGCTGTGTGGCACGTAGCGCCGTCCTGTTGAAACCAAATGTTGCCAATTTGGAGGATATTGGCAACATTTCAATTTTTGTGAACAAAAATTCGTTCAACATGGCCCGATAACGATCGCCATAGACTGTAACGGCCACTCCTTGCTCATTTTCGAAGAAAAATGGCCCAATTATGCCTCTGGACCAAAATCCGCACCAAACATTGACTCGTTTTGGGTGTACCGGCTTTTCAATGTATGCGTGCGGGTTTTCTGTGCCCCAAATGCGACAATTTTGCTTGTTTACATACCCGCCAAGATCAAAATGAGCTTCATCCGAAAAGATGATTTTTTGGCTAAATCGGCATCTTCTGTAAGTCGATCGCAGGCCCACTCAGCGAAGCGAAAACGCATTGGATGGTCAGTTGGCTTCAACTCCTGAACCAATTGGACTTTGTATGGCGTCATACCAAGGTCTTTATGCAAAATTCGTCTCAATGATGTCTCCGAAATGTTCAATTGTTGAGAACGACGGTGAATTGATGTTGATGGCGCTTCACGCACACTTTCTGCCACAGCATCAATATTCTCGGGTGTACGCACTGTTTTTGGCTTTTAACGCTTTGGTTTATCGATTAGGATGAAAGTTTCTTTCACTTTTTTCACAAGATAACGAACATACGGAGCTGACGGTGCTTCTCTTCTTCCAAAATCCGTACGCAATTTTCGCACACATTCTGCAACATTACCATGATCTTCAAAGTAATGTCGCAATATTTCCCAGCGTTGTTCAAGCGTATACACAACCATATTAGATTAGATAAAACTAATTATCTGACAAATCAGACATGAGCTAAGTGCTACCATTCACGAAATAAGCACTAGTTTTTTACCTCACAACCTGCCTGATCCTGGGATTTAGTTTGCTTCGGAGAGTGGATTTCCTTTCCTAAGTACCACTAATGGCAGGAAAAGTCCTCTGACTGTAGCCCATTATTTGGATTCACTTGGGACAGGAACCAGGAAGATTGGGTTACTTACCCCGCCACGACGACAACCACGTGGAGAACAGGAGTGAGCGTTTTAAGAGTTAGTTTTACCATAGTTCCAAATGGACTGAGCCGGCGTAATCGGTATGTCTTTTGTGTTTATAAATTTTTATTGGCGTTGTCATAACGGAAACTGTGGGCTCTAAGGGGCGTTACGATAACTACCTTTAGTTTCTTTATGTATTGAACAGTCTTTATGAGACTTTTAAAGATATTTTACTTTTAATTTGTATTATCAAGGTAAACAGATTGCATTAATGACAGTACTAATTTGAGAATAAGAATTATTTTTCTTTTCTTTCTTTTTTAAAAAAAAAAAACAACTCCCGCATTAGGCATATATCCTGTGTCGCGGGGGACTTTACAAACATACATGAAACGGACACAAATAACACCCAGACTCAGAACAACAATTTGTGGATCACACAAAGTGTCATCCCATGTGGGGTCCATGTACTCTACAGACACTACGTCATAAATAAACTGCCTCTTAATCTTATAACATCTCTTTATTTAATAGCTGCCCCCCACCCTAGATTAAAAGTCTAAGCGCTGACCGAGCTCTTCCAGGTATTTATTATATTTGTTATTAGTTGTCTATGTTCATTTAAGCCGGCACCTGGCGCCCGAGATTATTGGTTTTGTTAGAATTTGAGGTGCCGAACTAGTTAGTTTATTCATTTGTATGCAACATAGACATACATTATTTAAAATCATATTGTTTTATTTCTTAATATTACAATATATTACGTTTTTTTGAGCTCAATAGCGATGGCATCTCAATAGCGTGTCAGTGGTATGACAGTGGCTTGGTGTGAAAATAAAATAGCAGAATTGAGGACCAGTTTACTTACATGAGCATGGTTCGTAGTTTGATAAAATCGCAATGCTCCGGGTTCTCCACTTCAACCACCCCCCAAGGGTACAGTCTTCCGCGAACTCTTCGGCCGCGTACTTCCAACTGCTGGCCGGCGCCGCACACCGCAAATGGCACAGCTGCTTTTAGTTGGCGGACCTAAATAGAAAAAAAAACAAATGTAAAAACCATAATTTGAAGGATTGACCACTAAATAAAAAGTAAAGTTATCATTTCCTGTCAGTCAGTCACTAATGATACAAAGGTAGAGTTTTTGTGGTAATAGAAGTAAGTAAAAAAATGATACCTATTTTACCTAAGTCCGGCGGCAAAACGAAACCTGGTATTTTCATTTCAATATTAGTGTTTCTTTTCAGAAAGCACATTAAGCCGTCGGCCCTGGTTGTCTACTGCATATATTTTTACAACAAATAGATAACAAAACAGCTGTGCTACGTAGTCGCAATCCACCTCTGGCGACTAGACGCTGCAAGTCGCGAGACCACTGGTCGTCAGTCGCGGGCATGCTGCACTGAGCCGTTTAGTTCTATCCGTACTATCAAGTCGGCGCGACATCGTTTGCACTCAGCTCTCATTAAAACCTCATTCTTAAGGACATTAACAGATATTGCAAATTATATAGCCTATAGTGCTTTCGAAGTACAGAAAGTCTTACAATTTAACTGACCTGTTCCTTGTAGTCTTCGTCTTCATCGCTGTCGCAATCTGGCAGCGGATAAATCTTGATACCCTCACGCTCGATTTCTTCCATTACCTACATAGAGAACGGTTTTATTCCACTGCAGACTAACTGTTAGTAGGTATTCTTGTCAATGGGCAACGTACTAAAGTATGTTACAAACTTGAACTTTTAATTATTTTGACATTTTCGATTATTCATTATTTAGACATATTTAGTTTGACTTTTTTGATTGTTAATTATTTGACATATTGAGTTTGACATTTTTAATTATTTTAACATTTTTCAGCAGCGTTTTACCTGAAATAAAACGCATATTAAAATACTTACCTCACTGGAAGCTTTATTATGAGAAGGCATTTCCGTTTCCGTCATAGTTCTACCAGTTTACCCTCTTTTTAGTACCTTGTACATCCGGTCCAGTAGCGACACCTGGCGGTCGTGCGCTTTTAGTTGATGTAAAACGTTTGGGGCGCCATTTTTATCATTGGCTCAGTGAATATGCACCAGGCAGATATAAAGTGAAAGCTTCCAGTGAGGTAAGTATTTTAATATGCGTTTTATTTCAGGTAAAACGCTGCTATTAAAACACTTGACCGTCACTGGAAGCTTTATTATGAGATCTGTTTGTTATCGCCTGGTGTCGCTATTTGTAATTTCTTATTATTATAGAAACGCCAATGTGACGATAGGGTAAATAATAATAAAATGTATGAATGAATTATATATATTTATTTTCCGACAAAAATAATTGAATATCATAATTATTATGAAGACTGAAATTATTACAAATTTCACGTAATCAAAATGTGTTTATGAATTAGTTTTTCTAATCAAATTAAATTTTTAGATTGATTATTAGGTACTACTTCTCGTCTGTAGTACCGCTGGAATGTATTGGCAGATCGCCAATTTCCTCGGGCTAGTATTTCGTCACAGGGATGGTTTTCAATCCAGCTTTTGGAAGCCACAGCAGACCGACAACTTCCAGGGGCTGCTGCAATGCCTGCTTCTTTGAACAAGGTTTTTACCCAACCTGCTATCACTGTTCGACTGGCAGGCTTAGCCACACCTTTTATGGTTAAAAATAGATTTAATGATTTTGCTGCAATTAGTCTTTCAGTCAATGATGTTATCATTTCTTGAATCCAAAATAGGGGATTTAAATTACGATGATTAATATTTGGCAAGAGTTTCCAACCCGATTGTCGATAATTGCTGCTTTCTGTTTTAGAGCCAAATTGTGGCCAAAATATTATACTTTCATCCGATATAATACAATGCTCCGCATCTACTGTGAGCAACGTAAGGTCATGTATACGTCTACCGGAACAAAGTAATAACAATATCGCGGTATGACGCGATATTTGAAACCAATAATTGATGTCTATTGTATAATTAGTTAAAAATGATTTTAACTCACTAACGTTCCATATCGGTGGTTTGGAAATGATTGGTTTTTTAAGAGCAATCGATTTTAAAATATGTTTTACCAATACATGAGAGCTAAGACGACTCGATGTTTCAGTATTACACAGTGTGGAAACTACAGACTTATGTAACAGTATTGTATTAAATGACAATTTATTAATCAAATACAAATCCGATAGAAATTGTGCTTACTGTGCCCCAGTTGTTTTGGATCGACTTTATTAAAATTAGCCCAAGAAATCCAACGTTTCCAAATTACTTCATAAGTTTTAATAGCAGACTTCCGTCAAGAGTATTTAAGCAAACCTAATTGTTCAGTGTTCCACGAGTCTATCGCGGACGACCACCCCCACATTTCCAAACTTCGAGAGTTATGTCCTCGACCATCACAGGTGGAAGCCCCGTTGACGTGTCGATTAGATGTGTCTGAGGATTTTTCAGAGTAAATGGTGCTGTCAGTGCTCTGGATCTCAGATCCGCTCTCCAAAACACCATTTCCCAACGTGGAACAACTACTAGGAATATGCCCGATGACTGGTTCAAGTGCGCAAATGCTTTCGGAATGAGATATGGAGGTGGAAATATCTACGCCAGTGGGTAGTCCCATGGGTGGTAGACACTGAATGCGTCGTGATATAATGCTTGACGGTCCTTCAGGTCGCGGGACACGTAATTGCAAATTACATGCGCGGTTTTTGATGCAAACAGATCGATCATTGGGGTTCCCCACTTGGCAAACACTTTGTCCACACAAGCTGGTAATAGATGCCATTCCGGCAGTTGTTTCAGTCGTGACAGATGATCGGCATGATTGTTGTACTTGCCTGGGATATAGTGCATACTGACGTAAATTTGGTGCTGATCTAATAAATCTAGAATTTGATAAGTTATTTTCATTAGAGGAAGCGACTTTGTACCTCCTTTTCGTAGATGAGCAACTGCCGTCTTGTTGTCGCATTGAATGAGAAGCGAACTTTTCTGCAGCAACTGGGCTTGGCTTTGAAGAGCGTAAAATATAGCCAGCATTTCTTTTTGGTTGCTGTGTAATGCTTTCTCTTTTTGAGACCAGACACCGGAGAGAGTCTGGCCATTTAGTAGTGCACCCCACGCCTGATCTGACGCGTCCGTCACGAGAAAGTTTGTTGGAGGTGGAAAATGTATCAGTGATGACGACCGGCAATTCTTTAACCACCACTTTAGTTCCTGGAGAATATTGTCTGGTTCTTGATGTGTAGCTGGTTTTTGTGGGAGCGAGTGCATTAACATCAGTAACCTACTATTTTCTGCAAATCTTTTAACGTTGCAACAGATCTTTGTTCTGGTTTTGATTTACAATCAGAAAGCCGTCTAGATAAACTAGGATTCTTATATTCATTTTTATTCGTAGCATTTGAGCCACCCAATTCGTCAGTATAGCGAAGGTTTTGGGCGCTGTGCTTAACCCAAAAGGGAGACATGTCATTTCTAAGAGTTCTTGGTCGTATACAAGGCGTAGAAATCGTCTGTGCGACTTTGCTATACTCAAATGAAAATAGGCTTGGGAAGATCTATTTTGCATAGCCAATCTTGGGCCTGCAAAAAATCCGGAATGCGATACATGTTTATCAAGTGAAATGTTTCGCTCATCACGTAACCGTTTAACGCTTTCTGATTGAATATTTGACGAGCCGATCCGTCGGGCTTCGAGACCAGAAACATTGGGGATACAAAGCTTGGAGAGCGCTGCACTACTTTTAAAACGCCTTTGTTTTTTATTTTGTATATTACAGCAGACATCTCTAGTGAGACGCGAGTGTAAAACTGATCTTTTGACATTGGATATACAAGTGGGGGGGGGGGGGGGGGGATTCGAGCAAACGGAATGCGATATTCCTGAGTCAACTTTAAAATTATTTGCGGGGCCCCCATTCTCTGTCATTGTGGAAGGAAAAACTCCAGCTGGGGTCAGCTGGAGTTTTTCCTTCCACAATAGCAAATTGCCGTTCCAAGCGGGTGCTTGGAATGTCAACCTGTCATTGTTTGTATTTCCTCTGCCACTTCTTGGAACATTGTAGCGTTCATGATTATTCCCGCGTTCGGGCCGCGAGCCTCGATTGTGAATTGAGCCTCGTCCATTGACATTACGGCTCTCGTATTGAAAGTTATTACTTTGACCTCTGTTTTGATAATTATTGTGGTGACCACCCCACGAGGGTGGGTGGTAGTTAGTAAAGGAATTGTATTGTCCTTGAGGGGTTATGTAAGTTCCACGCGATGGAACTGCAACTGGTCTTCGTATGCTTTGCCCCCGCGAGGGGCGGCTATTGATTTGATTGGATTTAGCTTGCGAGAATATATCTGATTTAGTAGGCCAAAACACTTTGCGAACGCCCCCAGCCTTTTCTAATACGGCAGTAAATGGTTCAGACTCAAATATATAAGTTGTGGATGGTCTGATTAGCGAGGCTTTTTTATAAAAGGATCTCTTACTTGACTTGTAATTGATTCCCGGCGTATTTCAATAGTTTTAGCACGATGACCGCGAAATAATTGAAGAAGGTCCGAAGAAACCTTATGCAATTCACCGTTTTGGATTGAAGTCTTTTATTTTACTACTCAAATTCTCAAAATTTAATTCTGTATGTAGTGGCCAGTTAAGAAGAGTACGGATATTCTCCTGTAATACTTCTTTTTGTTTTAAAATGCAAAAAGTTATGGCTGCATAAGATTTTTCGGTGTTCGATAAGTGACGTAAGGTGTTGTATATTTTTACCTCTTCATTTGTATCAAGGTCTACGAAACCTGGAGAGTAGTTATAAGTCTTTTGTGTGTCAGCGTATCTTACGTCTGACCAAGAAGTACTGCCTAAGCGTTGGACCTCGCGTAACATTTTTAAAAACTTCCTTTAACTTAGTTTCAATATCGAATGTGAAACTTAACTCGCAATCGGAATTTATGGCCCTCATTGTAATGTACCGATTGTCTCTCAGTATCACATTGTTCATAGAGATCACCACTAATCTCCGAGTGAATTTCAATATTGCCATTACAAGGCTGATTATTTTTACCAGATATTATAAACTCCGAAACGAGGTTTAGTAAATCACTCATATCCTGAATCAGTTTGTTCAATCGAGGGTCATGCTTACTTCGCTTTGAGTTATTTCGGCGGCTGTTACTACTCGATCCGCTTCGACGTTTACGAGCCCTACTTGGACCGGCATCAGTGACAGTTTGCACTATCTCTTCATTAATATTATCCATAATTTTTTTTTTTTTTTTTTTTTTTAGCCAGCTACCACTAAAATATGTACGTTACTTTTCACGAGGAAGGAATTTAATATCAAAATAGAAAATACATAAACAAAATTAACCAAGATCAATTATAATCGAAGTTCAAACATTCTAACCTCTAACAACCACGTGTTTCTAATGATTTTTTACATACATTAAGAACAGTTATACTGGTAGTTATTTGTTATGAAATATATTACATTCGAACGGCATAACCGTTAAAAAGCAAAACTTTATTGATTAAGTACTCACCAGAATATAATAAATGCACTATTCTTTTTCACACAATTCACTCTTTGCTTTATTGCAATACTATAATATCACTTATATTACTGTAATATATTAAGTGCAACAGTAGCAGTCACAGAGCAGCTGCGTATGTGTTGCTTCGACGGGAAACGAAACGCCAATGATAAAAATGGCGCCCCAAACGTTTTACATCAACTAAAAGCGCACGACCGCCAGGTGTCGCTACTGGACCGGATGTACAAGGTACTAAAAAGAGGGTAAACTGGTAGAACTATGACGGAAACGGAAATGCCTTCTCATAATAAAGCTTCCAGTGACGGTCAAGTGTTTTAATCATCATTTATCAATATCAGTATGTTATTTAATTGAGAAATCAAATCAACGTCTACAACGCTACCTCTGGTGCTCCGAGGACTCCGAGCATCTACCAACATTACCCTCTACAAATTGTATTTTCTTCTTAATGTACCCACATTTTAATTTTGGTTATGTGTCAACTTAATTTTGGTATTGGTTTGTACAATGCTTGGTGATACCGTCAAATGCGCTCGTAGATTATAAGTTTACTTTTAAGTTCATAATTTGTAAATCTCAATATAAGTGAATTGTATTCTTTTGAGTAATAAATATCTTAAACCAGAAATTGCTTCCGGCTGAGGACGCCTGGAGACCAGGGCCCTTACTCAGGAAACGCTGAGGCGGTGCCCCCCCCAATTGTCTGCCCCGCCGGGTAAACGACATTGAAGGTACCGGAACACCTAATACCGGTGTTCATCAGCTCCTCTAGGCTGTGGCCACCCGGTACCCGAAGTTCCGTTTTCTTTTTTTTTCTTTTGTGTTTTAATATAAGTAATACCAAGGGACTACATTTGATTTGACCAAGCTCCACCACTTAACGTCTTAAGCATATTAAATAGAGATTTAAGTGACTAATTATAATACTTTAACTCTTGACACCAATTTCTCTTTAATTTTTTTTTGTTTATTGTTCAGAGAGGTCGTTACGGACCTTAGGTTTTTTTTTTGTTGTATTCTGTAGCTATAAAGGGTATTAGATATGGTTTATGTATTAGATTATGGAAATAAATATTAGGTAGCGGGACACCACAGCCGACTTTTTTTTTAATCCTCAACTATCCTGACAGGTATAACCTTGCCCTAGTGACCCCTAAGGGGTGAAGATACGTTACAATTTTTATTGAATTGAATAAGTATATGATTACTGGACTTTAAACAGTTGTATTGTACAGGAATAATGAAATCCTTTATCCTTTGAATTTACCTGTGTTTTACGAAATAAATGATTGATTGCTTGGTTACCTTTGTAACCATTGTTAATGAACCTATTTTATTTCTTTTAATATTAAAACTGGCCAGTAGTTATTACTGTTATTGTACTATAAGAAATCCACACCTCAAGCCACTTTTAGAAGTAGAAGAAAGTATGGTATTATTTGCTTAAAAATTATTAAATTCTCTTTTTTAGAATAGCAAAATACATTAGAGAAAAAGAAGGGTAGAAGAATTCGCCGTGGGACATAACAGACAAATAAAAAAAATGCTTGTGTTTTATATAAACCATTTTGGTAAATAATACGTAAGGTCTATTAACTTTCTTTATTTTTGGTAAGGTACTTACTCGAGACTTGAGCCTCTGCACTTCTTTCTTAGTGAGACAGTCAGCCTTAGCGATGACAGGAACGATATTCACTTTGTTATGGAGCTGTTTCATAAACTCGATGTCTAGCGGCTTCAATCTATTAAAAAACACAAGTTCGTACACACTTCCTAGGAATAATATGAAGTACTTATAAAGTACTCGAATTCGCTGAATTACCGATGTGTTTTTTTTACACATACTTTTACACTAGCTAACCCGCGTAATTTCATCAGCATCTCTCATAACCTCCTCCTTTTTGAAGTCGGTCGGAAAAAAAAAAAAAAAGTTTTTGCAACCTATTGAGTGTAGCATGATGATCTATAGCCTATAGCCTTCCTCGATAAATGGGCTATCCAATATTACTATCCTATGTCCTTTCCCGGGACTCTAACTACACTCAATGTCATCTAAATCGGTTCACCGGTTTAAGCGTATTACCTAAACAGACAGACATGAGACAGAGTATGGAGAATCCGCTAAAATTATGACAACAGTTACAGCTTTTGACAAGGCAATTAACCTTCTACGGGGTTCTTATAAAGGTTAGTAGAGCGCCTTTGTAATATTTCCATTAGTATTCCGAGCCCCAGTCGCGAGTCACACGTCCTAATCCGTATAACTTATCTAGGTCAATTTCGCTTTTCTATTTATGACTATCGATGAGTAAAGAATTCAATCGTGATACGATTGTTAAATATCAAAACTGATTCAATACACAAACACGAAAATATCGGCAACGATAGTTTCGTACGAATTATTTCATTACTATCTACGTAACTATCAGTGCTTTGGGAATATTAAATCATTAATAAACAACAAATTAAAGTAATGTCAAAACTAAATTTATAACGTAAACGTAAAAATCGTACGTTTTACTATTTTTTTGTTATAAAACTTTCAATAGTGATAACCCTTAAAAGGAGCAATATGTAAAAAATATTTTCAAAAAGTATATGATTCTAGACTTCTAGCAGTGATTGTAAATCGTAGTATAATAACATGCTAGCGACTGTACTACAGACTTCACTTTAAACATAAAAAAGACGAACGTTCTACAAGAAATTAATACATGTGTTTAATATGTATTAATTTCTTATATTAATTTCTTGTAGAACGTTGAACCCATGAATGACAAAGAGCGCTTCAAATTGGTTTACGTTTTAAAGTTTTTGCAACGCTTTTTGTTGCAATAAAACTGTTCGATCATGTTGACGGGCCTGTTGGTCTAGTGGTTAGTGACCCTGACTGCTAATCCAGAGGTCGTGGATTCGATTCCCACCGCGGACAAATATTGTGTGATGAGCACGATCACTTTGCTTTGCTTTTATTTTACTATTGACCTAAAAAAGCAATATTTTTCAGCAGCTTTAACAAAAAGTCAATATTTCCTCATAGTTTTTAAATAGCTATGTTAACAAAGTAAATTTATGTATTTATATATATACAAAATTAAGCAATTTTAAACTTTGACGAGTCCTCCTGTAAAATTGCTGATTTGCAAATCCTACATTCTTAATAGGGATGGGCGATATGTCAGTATATCATAGTGTCAGCAGTCTGGTTACCATAGTGCAGGCTCTGCCTAGTTTGAGATCAGACGGCCGTGTGTGAGATGTTAAATTATATTATTATATGTAGGTCAAACGTATTGGTTTTTTACTCAAATCTATACTAATATTATAAAGTTAAAGAGTTTGTTTCAACGCCCTAAACTTAGGAACTACATATTCAAATTGATTTTTTTATTGAGTTGCATAGACTATTTATCAAGGAACGCTACACGGATGGCGTACTGGTTTAAGCGGTCGCCACGCCACTTTCTATTGCGCTGAGTGTTGTGGGTTCGACTCCCACAAGGGAAACACAACACTTTGTGTGATCACACAAATCATCAACGCAAACTAAGTTGCCGGTCGGCTAGTAATTAATATACTTAGATTAAGGGTCGCACTAAAACAAATAAAACTAATGGAGTAACTTTATTATGCTGGTGTGACTGACAATTATGTTTTACGCGAAACAGTATTGTTTATAATAAGCATTATTGTTGCCTAGTGTATGCATAGTGGCCAACAGGTGCCCACTAATTAAGACACTACTGTATGGTGTAGAAGTTAATTTGTTCAAATACACTCAATGGGTGCCTAAATTATATAATTGATTATATTACCCGTGTCCAAACGGCGATATGAAGTAAAAGCAGCAATGAATGCGGTTATCCACAATGTTACGCCGATTAAGACCACTCTCGTCGCGGAGAAATCTCTCAAATTGTTCGTCGATGTATTGAATTATTGACTGTGAATAAACAAAAAACATTTAGCGAACAATGTTAGGCATTTCCTTTAATCTATTTAACAGAGTATATTCGTAAAATTCTATTACTGAATTAAGAATGTGATTAACATATAAGCTATTATATGTATCTATGTTCTGTGCAAATAATTGGAACGGTACACTGTGATTTATTCAAAAGGCAATCAGTCACATTGTTATCTATTTTACGATTGCCTAATTTGAAATTATAGTTTAATAACGATGATGTGTATGAGACTTACTCGGTTAAATTTTAATCATCTTCATCATCATCTGCCTACCCTTTTCCCATTTTGGGGTCGGCGCAGTATGTATGATTTTTCCATTCTACTCTGTCATGCGTCATCTCACTGTTTACTCCCTTCCTAGCCATATCCTCCCTCACGCAGTCCATCCACCTTTTCTTCGGTCTGCCTCTTCTCTTGTACCCTTCAACTCCCATACCTAAAACTTTCTTCGCCACATTTTTCTCATCCCTCCGCATGACATGTCCATACCAAGATAACCTATTACTTCTTAACTTTTCATCCAGTGGCGCTACTTTCAGACTCCCTCGTACATACTCATTCCTAACCTTGTCCATCTGAGTCACACCACACATCCATCTCAGCATTCGCATTTCGGCTACGTTCAGGCGTCTCTCATCCGTTCTCTTAATGGTCCAGCTTTCAGAACCATAAAGGACGGCAGGTCTGATAATAGTTTTATAAATTTGTCCCTTCAGTGTTAAGGGGAAACTGGGGTCACAAGTTGTCGCCGTTACCTGCCGCCACTTCATCCATCCCGTATTGATTCGATGCTGTACAGTTCGATCAATCTCACTATCACATTGTAAGAGGGAGCCGAGGTACTTGAAATTGGAGCAGACTGTTATCGCTATCCCATCCAGCGAAATGGTTTCAGGACTGGAGATACCGCCGAAATCGCAGAACATGTACTCAGTCTTGGTTCTGCTGAATTTCAAGCCAACATGCTCCAGCCTTTGTTGCCATTTTTCCAGTCTGCTCTGGACCTCAACCCCATCTTCACCGACCAACCGACCGACGACCCTATCATATGCCTTTTCGAGATCCACAAACACTATATGCAAGTTTTTGTGCGCACTCCTGTATTTCTCACATAGTTGGCGCATTGCAAATATAGCATCTGTTGTCCCGCGTCCTGGCATAAACCCAAATTGACTTTGGGTTATCTGACTCTCATCTCTTATTCTTCTCTCAATCACTTTCTCCCAGACTTTCATAGTATGTGACATGAGCTTTATTCCTCGATAGTTGTTGCATTCCTGAACATCTCCTTTATTTTTGAAAATGGGTACGAGTTGGGTTTGACACCATTCCATTGGGATTACCTCTTCAAGCAACAACATATTGAAGAATAGAGTCAGCCACTCATATCCGTCTTCTTTCAGTAGCTTCCAAACTTCCACTGGTATACCGTCAGGGCCTACTGCTTTTCAATTTTTCATACTTCGTACTGCCAATCTAACTTCATCTATACTAATCTCGTTCACCAGTCCGACATTCACATCCACATGCTTTAGCACTCCGCTCCATTTATTCTCTTCATTCATAAGTTTTTCAAAGTAAGTTTTCCATCGCTTTTTTATATCTTTATCTTTAAGCAACACTCTCCCCTCTTCATCTTTTATACATCTCACATGCTTCAGGTCTTTTGCTCTTTCTTCCCCGTTCTTTGTAATGCGGTAGAGTTCTTTTTGACCTCCAGGTTCATGTAGGTGTTTTAATATGTTTCCGAGAGGGGCGTTCGACGATCGATGCCGTGATGCGCCTTAGGGCCGTGACCGAGGAGGCTGTGAGCTGCGGCGGAGTGGTGTTGGCGGTGTCCTTGGACATCGCCAACGCCTTCAATAGTCTGCCATTCAGCTGCATCAGGGAAGCGCTCCGCTACCACGGAGTGCCAGAGTACCTGAGGCAGCTAGTGGCAGACTATCTTGAGGAGCGAACCGTCATGTACGAGGACCGAGATGGCGTCTTGAGACGCAGGGCCTAGAACCGCTCCTGTGGAACATGGGGTACGACTGGGCCCTACGAGGGCGTCTCCCCCCAGGCTGGGTGTAATCTACTACGCAGATGACACCTTAGTTACGGCCCGGGGGGCTAACTTCCAGGAGGCGGCGCGCCTGGCCGCCACGGGAGTTTCTCTGGTGGTTGGGCGCATTGAGGCGTTGGGTTTACGGGTGGCCCTGGATAAGACGGAGGCCCTAATATTCCATGGGCCCCGTCTTGGTCCGCCCGCCGGCGCCTCAATCAAGGTTAGCTCAGTCCGGGCCCAGATGAGGTACCTGGGCCTGGTCCTGGACGGTAGATGGCTCTTCGACGAGCACTTCCGACAGCTTGGTCCAAAGTTCGTGGACACTGCCTCTGGATTTTTGCCCAATTTGGGCAGGGCCAGTGTTCCCACGAGGCGGCTGTACGCGGGGGTTGTCCGGTCCATGACGCTGTATGGTGCACCGGTGTGGGTGGCGGCTCTGACCGCCACGAATAGGGCGCGCCTCTGGCGCCCCCAGAGGATATTGACGGTCAGAGCCATACGCGGATACCGCAAGGTGTCCACCGAGGCGGCTTGCGCCTTGGCCGGAACACCCCCGTGGGATTTGGAGGCGGAAGTGCTCGCCGAAGTCTATCGGCGAGTGGCTGACTACCGGGCGGAGAGCGGATTTCGCCCTCCACCCGAAGACGTGGAGGTGGACATGGTCGGTAGCGACAGTGTTTTTACCGCGGTCGCAACCTTCTGCGAGGAGGTAATCTCCCAGAAGGAGGCGGCGGAGAAGGCCCGGTAGGACGACCTCCACACACGACCCTGCGCTCACCTGCGCCTCTTGCCGCCCTGAGTGTGGCCGCAGGTGGACGGTATGGGGTTTCCCCTCCACCCGCATTAGTTTGGCCTGCCGCGAGGGGGCGGCTTCCGCGTGTGCCGGACGTCGCCTAAAGAGAGGAAAAAGTTGAGACGGAGCCCGCGCCAGGAGCGGGCCGGCGCTGGGAGGGGTTCAGAAGGCGATAACAACCTGGACCCCTCCTAATATAGAAGCGCAAAGAGGGCACACCGTGTGGTTTTAGTCGGTTGGAGTCCGACACACCGCCCCGCTGAATAGAAAACCCCGGCGGGGTGACGGCACGGGGATTTAAACGTAAAAAAAAAAAGGGTGTTTAAATATGTTATATTGAGCTTGAGCTCTGGCTACCGCTACCGCTTTTTTTGCCTTTTTCTTCCATTCTTTATATTCATTCAATTTGACTTCCTTCATTCTCTCCCAGACCTTTTCATTTTTCCACGCTTTAAAGGCATCCTTCTTTTCTTTTAGAGCTTTCTGTCTCTCAGCACTCCACCACCATGTATCTCTTTCAATAATGCCTTTTCCTTTTGTTTCCCCAAGTACTTCTCTCGCTATCTTTCGTATATAATTTGCCATTTCACTCCACCATCCATCCACAGACTTATCTAGCCTTGCATTCATTTTAATCATTTTTTCTACCACCTTTACCTTAAAGTTATTTGCATACTCTTCTTTCTCTAACATTCGCCACCTGATTCTTGGAGAAGGTCGGTTCTTCCTACTCTTACTCAAAGTCTTCCATTTGATCTCCATTACCAGCAATCTATGTTGCGATACTACGGGTTCCCCGGGCACCACTTTGCAGTCTCGGACACAAACCAACTTACTTCTTTTTATGAGAAAGTAGTCGATCTGTGTCGCGTGGCTACCACTTTTATACGTGATCAGATGTTCGTGACGTTTTTGGAACCATGTGTTAACTATTGCCAGGTCAAACGAAGAGGAAAACTGGAGCAGAGACTCACCATCAATGTTTCTACTTCCTCCATGTACTCTTTCATAATCCTCATTCGTTGTTCCCACATGACCATTTAAATCTCCACCTATCAAAAGTTCTTCACTTTCAGGGATACCTATCAAAACCATGTCAAAATCGGCCCAAAATTTTTCTTTCACTTCATCCTTGCATCCAGCTTGACGTGCATACACGCTAACAATACTCATAATTACGCTCTCCCATACTAATTTTAGTACTATTATTCTATCGTTCACTCTCTTTACATCCGTCACACACTCTTTCAGGGCACTATCCAATACTACACCCACTCCATTTCTCTTCCCATCACTTCCGCAGTAATAAAACTTGTACCCCTCTCCTATCTCTCTTGCCCTTTACCCTTCCATTTTGTTTCTTGCAAGCATGCCACGTTTATTCTTCTTCTTTTCAACACATCTGCTAGCTCTCTCGCTCTTCCAGTCATAATCCCTACATTCCAACTTGCATATCTCAACCTCACCTCACCTCTCAATCTTCTTACGTTGCACCTGCCTCGGGTGGTGCAACAACCCTTGTCCACTTATTCGCGTAGCCGGGTGCTGCTACCGCGCGTCGCTTACGGGGTACGCCCTAGCACTGTCGCACTCAATTTGTATCACACTCATACTGCATTATAATGGTTTTGGCTAATTAATTTTATGGCCGGCCGCCTGCCTGTCGCGAACCCTCCTTGGGAATGTAGTCGTTTATACGATAGGGAAGGGAAAAAAGGAAACATCGGGGGTGAGAGGATTGGATGAAAAAGAGGAAAATTAGAGTGGGGGAATACCGCAGTACTAGAATGGGAGACAGGACTTAGACTGCGGTATGTACCAATATCCAGCGCTTGGAGAGGCCACCAGGACAAGTACCGCACGGACTGTATATATACTGTCTGATGATAAACAGTCCAAAGATTTCCTCAGTCGCCTTTTACGACACCCACGGGAAGAGATGGGTTGGCCTTATTCTACTCCGCCGAGAACCACACGGGATACGTCAAATATTAATATATATTGAAAAAGTGACAAACATTATAACAAAGATAGTTTGGTTTAAAAAATTTGATACTTACACGAAAGCAGTCAGTGTTGTCGATAGCATCTCCATATCCAGGCGTGTCGACGACTGTAAGGCGAAGTTTCACACCTCTCTCTTCGATCTCCACAGTAGATGCGTCAAGTTTCACAGTTTGGTTTGTTTTCTCTGTGAAACATTTAAATGAGTAAACAAAACAGGGACCACTACAGTAATCCGAGCTCAATAGACATATATTCGTAACAGTTTTCTACTTCACATACATATTTTTTACAAAATTCAAAAGATTTTAACAGAAGCATTCATATACATATAACGCTCCTAAGCAATATTGTAACTGTGAAGTGATTTTTATTATTTATGCTATAGGGGACGAATTTATGGTTCTCCTTTGAGGCGGCGAGTCTCCTGGCCGGAACTCCACCGTGGAACCTGGAGACGAGAGCCCTTGCGGCTTTGTATTGGTGGGTCTAAGTCCTGAGACTCGAGAAATCGAGGATCAGAAATCCCAGATCCGCCAGGTAGAGGAGTAGAAGGAACGACTTGGGCAACCGAGCGCCGGGCACGCCGTTATTGCGGCGGTAAGACCCGTTATGGACGATTGGCTCGAGAGGCGTCACGGAACCCTCTCATACCGGCGGACGCAGGTGATCATCGGGAAAGGTTGTTTCGGAGATCACCTGTGTCTGATCCGCAAGGAGCCAACGCCTGAGTGCCGCCACTGCGAATGGTCGGACCGTGGACTGAGATTAGTAATAATGGCTACAAATCCTAAGTCGTAGGTACTAAACTCACTCCATCAATTTCGGAACGCCTTGCTCGAGGCTTGACCACACGCAGACGGCGAGTGGACCACTGAATCACGGTACTATTATAATACAGTACTCCAACTTCATACAAACGGACGAAACGCGAGCTATACCTACGCGCCTCGATCTCGGGGTGCGCTCGGGGCGCAGACAGTCACGGCTGTGCCGCAGTGTCGAATGGACGTCGGTTGTTTTTTTAACAATAACCGCGCGATTTTTTCTCTAAAAATCAGTTAATATGACGAGTAGGAAATATTGTGCTGTTTTTGGTTGTATGAATTCGTCAATAACGCATCCAGACATAAGTTTTTTTAAATTACCTGAAACCTCTGAAAGGTAAGACTATAAAATAATTTTACTTACTAGTAGGTAGGTACATAATGTGTGTCTTTTTAATGGATAAGTATTTCCTTTTATCTCACGAAAAAAAAGGTGTTTGGTTTATAAATAAAGCAAATAGAGTAACGGAAAGTTATTGAGACGAGTGAAATAGGTAGTGTATCAAAATTTATAGGGAGTGAATCAAAAAACAACACGCATTTTTATTGAACACTTCCTATTCAAAATACAAAGTATTTCATTTATTTATATAAAAAGGATATTTACAATTACAAATCTAAATAGAAACAGAAAGTAGGCAAATATAATTAAAATGCTGGAGACGGGCAGCCCTAACGCATGTTTACGTACCGCGCGGCTGTAGGCATTTATTTCTATCATGCGGCCGAGTTACAATACTGTATTATAATTGTACCGTGACTGAATGGACCATACTGTAAAATAACGCTTCCCCTCGAATGTGTCTGTTGCATTGTTTTCTTTTTGACAACAAATGTGTCGTGTGGGTGTAATGAGCTATGACAATACTACTTAGTAATTACTAACTAATTATAGATAATGCATCTAGTGAGATATACGAATGAAATTTAAAATATAATTGAATCATTTTAAGAATGTAAATGAATCATAGCTCAATGAGTGTTATCAAGATGATACATCCAGAACACAAAACAAATATTAACACCAGAATGAGTGAAAGTGATGATTTTGGACTATGTATTTAATAATAATAACCTCATACATCTTAAACATAACTAACTGGTAGCTATGGTAACCAGACTGCTGGTAAACAATTTCTAAATACAAACATATTTTAGATAAATTACACCCAAAACTGAATAAATGATCATGCTCAACAACCAATTATTTGTCCTAGGTGGGAATTGTACACACCACGTTTGGCTGACTGCTAGTCCGACTCAATAACCACAAGACCGTTATTCTGATTACATTACAAAATATACACTTTTAAGATATCCATATAGACTAAACAGTACAGTACAAAGTATGTCAATAGCATGATAGTAGGGATAGTAAAAAAAGCCTTCTTACATGTTTAGTATAGCGTAAGTGATAACAGCATTAATAATTACCTATAGCATCTGGTATAATCCGCTCCGGGTACAAGTCAGTCAGGAACAAAGAGTTAACAAGTGTAGATTTGCCAAGTCCACTCTCACCGACTACCATGAGCGTAAACTCAAAGCCTTTCTTCACAGATTTACGGTGCACTTGGTTTGGCAGGTTTGCAAAGCCCACATAGCCCGGGGTTTCCAGATTAGAAAACTATAACAAATAATATATTTAATAAATCTCTTATCTCTAACTCTCGTGTCTTAAATATAGTACAAATTGAGATTAAGTTTGATTTAAATAATGATTAAACATTAGTTAAAATAAACTTAATCTCAATTTGTTAAACAAAAAATATGCAGCAACTGCAGAAAAATAAATAACCATAAAATAAATTGTTTCATTTTTCATACTTTATAAATCTAGCAACTACAACCCTGTTTGAGGCAATTTTTCCCAAACTATAAAAAAAAAACACGAATAATGTCAATTAACCCTTATAAATAAACAGCTAAGTTGTCATGATGTTTTCCTAAGTTTTGTGATACACTAGCTTCTTATCTAGTACAAGAGAAATAGATGAAACTTAGATTATAAATAAGAAATGTTTTTAATAAATACATACAGTATTATCTGTGAACATAAATAACATACCGTTATATTCCTCATTATGCAGTACGCTTGATAAGGTCAAACTCGTTCAAACCGATAACAAGAACAACTAACGGGGACTCGTATACTTATAACTAAAGGTTTGTACAGCATCGCTTATTCATTAGTAAAACATTCAGTCTCTATACAAACAATCCAGCTAACATCCGCAATACACATTGCAACTTTAAAGAATGTTATAAGAATGACAAAGGATATTTACACTTCTAAAATTCGCTACACATAGCATAGATTTTTTTGTAATTTATACTTACATTTTTATTTGCGGTTTCACTAGACATTTTGTTGTCCGCCGACATTTCACGTGTTAAGTTTTATAAAGTAGGTACTATTTATTTATTTTATTATTGAACGATTAAAACTATAACAACTTGGAATACAAATGGGTTTGATTTGATGAATCTGATTGACAGTTGAGTTGATTGCACAGAACATATATACCCCTAAAGGGGAAGAATAACGACTCCATACTATTTTTATGAGGAAATTTTTCCTTACCGGCCGGCGCCATCTATGCTCCGCCCACCAAAACTAGACAGTAGAAGCTAGGGCGGGAATTTCAAAACAGATACTTTGTATTGCATTTTATGCACAAGTACAGTGCGTTTCTCGATAGTGTTCATCAAGATGGTCAATTATTTCTCAGCAAAAACAATTGACATCTAAACGACATCACTATCGAGAAACACACTGTACTTGTGCATAAAATGCTGAAAGCAATATTTATGGATCAGTGTAATAAAAGAAACATTAGTATTTGACTTTTTTATTTAGCATAATATTCATTATAATTTATCAGATATTCATATTATAAGCAACTATATACTAATTTTACATGAATAAATGTGTTTTTGGATTATATATTCATTTGGGACAAAAGGTGTTCACAAGTATGTGTATGTAATTTTTTTGCGTGTGTTGTGGCCACCCTCTAGTGTCAGAGCTTATTAAGTCGCCTCTGGGAATCCCACAGGCCTCTGACATGGCGTGTATGTAATGATAATTAATCACAAAATTTGTCGCTTAATCTAAACACAAATTAAACATAATATTCTAAAAATGAGATAATACATACAATTTGAAAATACAGCAAGCATCTTCGACCATATGGTCTATTGCATACAATTTTAACATCAAAAACCTAGACAAGTTCAAACACAAGTTTACACTTTACAGACATATATCATAATATTATATAATATGTATCATTTCAGTTTAATAAAATAAATAAAGAAATGGTTAACAAGAGAGATAGTTATTATTTTTGTTGAAGGTAGACAGATCTGACCAATTTAGCTACACTATCGTCCATTAATAAAACAAGTTGTAAAATAATAAATAAAGCATAATCAGCCTATAATGAAATGAAATGATGAAATTATATTTATTTCTGTAAGTAAATCTTTTCAGATATTTTTACAAGTCGGACTTTATAGCTAGAAGGAGCCGGCATTTCCTAAGACTCACTCTGGGAAGAAACACCGAAACAAACCACAGAGGTGTCTCTTTTTTTTTAAGTCCGTAAACAAAGTTAATTAAAACTGTGCGAGTACAGTATAGGGGCTGGATAGGCCTTTTGAGGAAAGGATCATAGTTTTGAGTCAACCTGTCCATACAGACGGCATACAGGCTCCAGCCATCGTGTAGCCTAACCGATATTGGTCAAGATCAACGACCCGAAGCATGACACTACCGCCAGCAGGACATTTGGGTAGGCCGTGGAAACACTCAAAACCACCAGAAAGATAATAAAAAATTAATTAACATTACAAGCCTACACTGTACTCACATTTACATACTTACACAAAAAATAAAAAAATACTATACAGTTCAAAGTCAACGAAAAATAAAATACGAAAACAAAATACGAAATACACCAAAAAATAATAATTAAATGTCCATCACTTTCAAACTTAACAACAAAGATGTCTACGTAAATGTGGGAGTGAGCAGCATCAATCCGAAGCAAATTTGTCGTCTAAATAATCTGTAATAGTGTAGTAAGCCTTTTCACATAGTTTTAGCTTTACTAAAGACTTAAATTTATTAATACTTAATTCATGGAATTTGCTTGGCACTTTATTGTAAAATCGCACACCCTGACAATGAAAAGACTTGCTTACTTTTTGTAGTCTAGTGGTTGGTAACACGAGTTTATCTTTATTTCTAGTGTTTATTTTATGCATGTCGCTAAACTTTGTGAATAAATGATTATTTTTCTTTACATACACTAAATTTTCATATATATATTGAGATGCGACTGTCATGATACCAATTTCTTTAAACTTATCCCTCAGTGACTGCCTATAACTAAGATTATAAATTGCTCTTTTGCAACACAAAGATACTTTGAATGTCAGCAGCATTTCCCCACAACAAAATACCGTATGACATTACACTATGAAAATAGCTAAAATACACCAGTCTAGCTGTTTCTACATCGGTTAATTGACGAATTTTGTAAACCGCGTATGCTGCAGAGCTGAGTCTATTCGACAATCCGTCAATGTGTGGGCCCCATTGCAATTTAGAGTCTAGTGTTATACCTAAAAACTTGGTGGTGTCCACAAGATTCAACTCCTTTCCATTTATTAGAACATTGGTCTTTACCTGTTTAACATTAGGTGTAAAAAATCTAATACATTTTGTTTTATTCTCGTTTAAAGTAAATTATTAACATTAAACCAGTTTACAACCTTAGAGAGAGTGCTAATCACGACATCAGTTACTGATTGCTGTCGTTTAAGTTTAAATAACAGTGAAGTGTCATCCGCAAATAGTACTATCTCCTGATTATCATTTTTCCACAAACATAAAAAAATGTAATAAATGTTCTGTTCTGTGGATTTTTTTTCCTCTTCTTAAATCTGATGTCGACGCGTTTACTCCATCAAACAGTTCATCCATGTCTTTAATTAAATTACCCGTTGCCACTGCTCCAGTCGGCATGTCTCCTGAAAATTCACAATAAACAAATTAAATCAATATAAGTACAATATAATATGACAATATAATTATTAGATAGTTTCACCATTTATAAAAGAGACAACCCCACATTTTCATACTGTTGAAACGAATTTGTAAGACTTGTTGTTAAATGTGCATAAGTATCATGCATAATAATTATGATGTGTGTGTATAAATGAGTTGGACCATGACTATTAAAGATGTCTCTTACCTTTAGCTATTTTGGAAAATATTCCTGCTGCAACTGAGTGGCTTAAAACTTGTGCTGCAAGTTTTACCCTCATTTTTTGCTTGGTATTGGGGTCAACGTGTTCTTTAGTTAAGAGTGGTGCATAAACAAAATTGGGATTATTATTGTCCAGTTCATAGAATTGTCTGATGTGGCTCCATTTAGCGATTCCTGTAAAGTAATTATTAAAAGTAAAATTATCTATACTAATATTATAAAGCTGAAGAGTTTGTTTGTTTGTTTGTTTGAACGCGCTAATCTCAGGAACTACTGGTCCGATTTGAAAAGTTCTTTCAGTGTTAGATAGCCCATTTATCGAGGAAGGCTATAGGCTATATATCGTCACGCTAAGACCAATAGGAGCGGAGCACCAATAAAGAATGTTTCAAAAACGGAGAAAATTTATTACTATTGAAAGACGCAGACGAAGTTGCGCAGGTCAGCTAGTTAAGTATAAACTACATACATATTATTAAACACTTTTTTTAAACTAAATAACAATGACTTACCAATTCCTTGTTTGTTGTCTGATGTTATATTGGTCATAAACTTTACATCATATTTCATGAACAGATTTCTGAAGCACTTCAGCAAGTGTGGTGTGTCAAATAGCGTGACTACTTTGTGATTGCTCACTTCTATATAGGGATTCTCTACAGAAGCTCCCAATAGACACAGAGCTTTCTTGTTGACTCCATCCAAGTCACAAACTGAAGCGCATATATTAAGGCCAGCATTAAAGCAACAATTTAAAACCTGAATTTTTTTTAATTCAGATTAGTAACTTAACTTATTTAACATAAGCATGATCATCTTTCAAAATGAAGAAGAAATGCATACCTCCTTAATCAAAACAGATAGTCTGTCAGCTGTGACAAATCCACTTGATAGGTAATAAGCCACTGGCTGTTTAATTGGCTTCCTAACTCCAACCACCATAAATACAAGCGCATATGAAGCTGCCTGTGGAGATCTACCTTGTGTGGCATGGTCTTGAAAACCCTCAATTTGATCAGACTTAGTTGTACCATAAATTTTTTCTTAATGACATTTCATCCCACAACAATATGTACTCTCGTTCAGATGGCCCAAAGTGTTTTGTCATCTTTTTCAACATTGTAAGTGTTGTTTTGTGTATCCCCACATTCATCCTAAATCTGCTTAAGAGGGATTTTAATGTGCTGGGTGCTGGTAAACAAATCATTCTCCTCAATAACTTGTAGCATGTTGGTGACCTTTTATAGAGCCTCAATGCTATTATTTTAGCTTCCATGTTCCACCTGCGTCCAGGTTTCTTCCTCTTATAATTCTGCAGTTCTCCTTGCAGTAACAGGGCAAATGATGAACTCATTTTTTTATTGAGGATTTTTTTTACTGTTTCATTGTTGGAGATTTCATTTAAAAATGCTTCATTTTTTAAATATTTTACAGTTTTTTGTAATCTATATACTTTGTTCATACTATTTTTCAGTTTCCTTATCAACATTTTGTTTTTCTATCTCCTTCTTGTTTTGAAGACTCGCACACAATCATTCCTGAACAACTGGTTGGAGTGATAATGTTTGCATTATGTTCTCTTAAAGGATAAATTCTGGATGGACCGGCAACAGGTTCAAATATGGCAGGTTGATCTGGCAGATTAGAAATTGTTGTGTCCTGAAAATGAAAGGTTAACATATTTATTTTAAATAAATTAATTTAAATCCTTAAATTAATATAAGTCATAGTTGAGGTAAGCAAATTATATATATAAGAAATATTTATAACTAGCTTCTGCCCGCGGCTCCGCCCGCGTAAATGTCGGTCATCGCGGTAAAAATGCACTCCCTCCGCGTAAATGTCGGTTATCGTGGTAAAAAGTAGCATGTTTTTCCTCAAGAATCAAAGTATCTGCATACCAAATTCCATCTAAATTTATGACTCATTTTGCATGTTTGTAATTGCCCAAGTTTTCTTAAATTTAATGTTAACAACATCATTCTGCTACATAATATTATGTGTTACACATAACATAAAGTCTGTATTTCTCTGCAATGTAAATAGCTTTAAATACACTTTTAAAGTATTAATTGTACTAACCTTATGGCATTGAACACCAGGTAC